TTGTAGTTGTACAGAACCCTTAGTTAACTTAGCAGTAGTAGGCATATCCCGCATCTCATAATGATCAACCAAAGACAAATCTGCACTATCATGATCATTACCACAAATATTCAATTTACCGTCAACTTCATCATTTTCAAACTCTTTAATAACAGAAGTAGACAATTTTGGTTCCTCCTCACAAATCCTTAAAGATTTTATACCTTCACTCTGAATAGTAATACCTTGTAAACTTATGGGGTCAGAACTGCACTCTGAAACTGTAACTCTCTTCTGTGGCATACTATTCAACAATGGCTTACTAATTGCTACTACAGGCTTCTTGACCGCGCCATTGTCGTCACACAATTCGGACTCAGACCTTCATTTCACATTTAGCTTATCACTGAAGTTACTCACTGGTTCACAGTTCACTTCTGTATGCACCTCTTGCAAACGTGTAAAACACAACCGTGTTTGTCTTGCATCTTGTAACTTATCTGTTGAGGATGTACTACGAAACCTGTTACACTCACTAGGTCTATATGCATTACTAGACATCATGGAGCCTTCTCGATATCCACCTCTCTGAGGCCTACTCGTCATCAATGATTGCATTTTACCCTCAGACTGCTCTATTCTAGGGGTGAGATGTAACAGACTGGCGAACTTGCTCGTAGATTGATTGACACTAGTATTTACCAGTTTCAGGATATCATCAAACTTTGGCTCGATACCCTCATCCTCCATACGGGAGCTTATCTTCACCCACTTCCTTTGCAGTCGGGTAGGTAGACGTCTTGCTATTACTTCTAGTATAAAACTCGAGTTGAGGTCACTCATTCGATTCATCGAAATCATTCCATTCTTGTAGATTAGCAAATTATCCAAAAACTCAGTGAGTGCCTGGGAGTCATTCTGTAATTGACCACCATTACCCTTAACAGCCTCGAATAATTTCCCTGCAATCATCGAAGGTCTTCCAAACCTTTGGCGTAGTATGCTCATAGCCTCAGCGTATCCCTCATTAGGGGACATGAGCTTACAGCATTGCATAGCTCTTGAAGCATCTCCAGTGCAATACCTCATCAAATACATTAACTTCATTTCATCATTTAATAAAAAACCACTTAGCATGATTTCACACTCCTTTACAAACTGTAAATAATCAGCCGGGTTTCCATCGAAACACCGTGGTTGAAATTTAGGGAGTTTGATGTTCCTATTATCCCTGAACGGCGAAACAGTAACATCAACCATGTCATGCTTAACATCAGACACACCGTTACGATTAACAGACAAGTCACCATGACTTACTTTCCTGTTTACATCCAAGACACTCTGTCCCTTCTTTGACCCAGGCATTGTTGAACTTGACCAAATTCCAAAAAGTTCCAGATATTGCTTGTTCAAAGAGGACTTGACTGGCACCGGGAAAGATGAACGGTGACTATCCAAACTGTCACCAACTGTCTGAATCCGTCAGAAATTGTTTCCACCGTCAGAAACTGTCAGCCACGTCTCGTAAACCGTCAATGCCCAGCTCTTGCTACGCTGGGCCTCACGCTGTTCCTCGAAGCTTTTCAGAAACGCTTAGTACGAACGGACGCGAAAACCAGAACCCAGTTTGGTGACTCGAGAATTATTTATTCTAACACCAACATATAAACAATGTTACAACTAAGGTCTGTGAACAAATATTACAATAATAGATCACAATATTACTTCTGACGGTTGTCTCCTGACTTCTTTCTGAACAGCGACCGATGAGACGATGACTGTCGTATTGATGCCTCCGCGAAAATTGGGGAAGTTGGTTTTGAGCAAACAACCATGAATTGATCGTTCAATGTTCAGCTACATTTACACATGTATTCCATGGTAGATTTGAAGAATCGTAGGATTTCAAGTTTACTTACAATACTTTTATCTTCTGTGAAAATCACATATTAGACAACTGACTCTCTTATTCTCCCGTTAGAACCAACTGAAAAAGACTAAATTTTCGAACTTTGTACTTCTTTAGTTGACCCAACCAATAATTTTCTCCCTGTCAGTGGATCCAGTGCATATCACATCTGTGAGATATATTTATTTACTTGTCCCCTTCAGCCAAAAATGTCTATCTGTTTTATTATTATTTCAAATCCAGCCTCAGTAACATGCAACTAGTATTAACCGCAACTTTTTTTCAAAGGAAAGGCTACCAATCACAGTATGTGCAAGTTAGCTTCAAGTGCTCGCCGCAAGCCGTGTAGGCCGCTTTCCGTTACACTCCCGTTTATTCTCGGCTTTTGTTGTATTGTACATCTCAAAAGTCTGTAGGTTAACTTTGAATCAGTTTATTCTGGTTGAGGTTAATTTTCTCTTTGGTTTTGAGTATACTAACTCATAGGAATTGTATTCTTGTAACTTGCTTGTCGTTGTATATGCATTTTTGTACACGCATGGGTTTTTTATCACTGATTTATATATAAATTGTTTCTAAAGTCATTTTTGAATTTCCTAGTATGCCTACCAAAAAGAACTGCTGCGAGAGAGTTATGTGTCAATTCCCAGTTGAAGGTGTGCAGTGTGATAGCTGCAAGGAACAAGTGTCAAAGCATGTGTTCAAAACTTACTCATGCAGCAAACAATTGCTCCTACAAACCTCTGGCGAACTGGCTGTGCAAGTACTGCTGCATTACGACCATTTTCCATATTACGAAGCCATCGCCACACAGTGGGGCGCTAAAGCTCGTGGATTGCCGAATACTCCACCACAGCAGAATAGTGACTACCGCTGAGACACCGATGATGTGGCTAGGTTCCTCTGCGTCTCTGTCAGGGATTGTGTGCCCTTCAGCACAGAAGAGCGCCCTCAATAGTCCGGACACCTGTGCCTCTCCTGCGATGCCCTATAAGCCATTCAGTGACAGTAGTGGAAAATCCAGCACGAGGAAAAGGCCTACTAGGGTGCGAAAACCTGTGGCTTAAGTCGCCCAGGAACTTGTGGAGCACGCTTCATCCACACAGGCAGGCAGACACAATCGACAACAAATAGCAATGAGGGCACAAATGAGTGGCGTTGAACAGTGTCCCGCAAACAGCTAGTTAAGGCTGCCATAAAATCCACACTGTCCATGGAAGACGGGAAGAAACTTGCACCTCAGAGCAAGAAAGCCACGTTTAGCAGGCCTGATCTCTGCAACCAGTCACTCGTTCTTCAAAAAGTGGAAGAATTAGAGGCTTCCAGTCTCAAGGTCCTTAGCTTGGTCTATCCCTTTGCAAATAAGCTGATGCCAACAACACTATCAGGTGTAACCATACACAGACCATGACTAAGGAACTGACATATTCTCTTTCCCCTCCATCCAGGCGCGAACACCTTAGAGAACATAGCAGGAGAAACCATATTGCCGTGGAGTCTGGAAGCGGTGTCTACAACCTCAGCTGATTCATTCAAAAAAGGTTTGAACAGACACAGAAATGAACTATAGAAGAATTAATATGGACTACAACCAATAAATCTGAAGTTCTAAGGTTTGCAGTTATTGGCACATCTCGTCATCAGGAGTGTTGCAGGGTTCTATCCTAGGACCACTGATGTTATTAATTTTTATCAATGATCTACCATGCCGTCTAAGCTGCCCAACTCTTCTCCACGCTGACAACGTAAAGATATGGAGGGCGATAAAGTGTCCGGAGTACTCAGATAGGCTGCAGGCAGATCCAAAGCTTCTAGAAGACCGGGCGGTGGTCAGTGGTATGACTTTTAACCTGAAAAATGCAAAGTAGTGAAATTACTCACATGTAGACTGCAGAAGGCAAGTTACACTCTGTGCAATGAAAGCTTGTTTTGCACAACGTTGGAGAGCGACTTAGGTCTAGTTCCAACGGAGAAAATTGACGTTGCGAGGGCATATGAAATCATACACTTTGCACATAGACAGTTGCACTCACTCCAAAGTTCTAAGTTTGTACAAAACATACGTCAGGCCACACATTGAAGTGAATGATGTTGTTGCACTTCACTGCTTAGAAGAGACGCCAACCTCATGGAAAGAGTCTAAAGGCAGGCAACAAAATGAGTGGTTGGTCTCCAAAACAATCCATATGATGAAAGGTTAAAGAAATTGGGCCTATTCACACTTAGCAAACATCGGCTTAGGGGGGATTCGATTACTGCCCACAAAATAACAAATGACCAGAATCACATAAAAAAAGGTGTTCTGCCATTGTGTAGTTATAGGCTTCTTGGTGGAAATCTTAGAAGGATAGCTCTCTAGAGGGCAAGGACGCGGGTGCTCTCCTACTTCTTTTCACTGCGGGTTTGCCATCCCTGGAATTACTTACCGGTAGATGTAGCTATGGCACCGTCCGTCGAAGCTTTTCAGCGAAGATTGGACAATCATGCAGCGACACAAGGACTGCGTCCAAATGGTCTATCCGTTTAAAATCCCATGCACCATTCGGAGTAGACAACTACGTTCGTCGTTTTACTTCTTTACATTCTCTCCAGTCTTACTCTCCTGACAACTCTAACTACACTTATTATTGTTACCGATATATATATATATCCATATATCAACTTCAAATTTAGTCAGCTGTCTGTTTTTACGTTTTCTTTACTTCTTTTTCTGTCTGTTACTCTGGATAACACCACTAATTATATCTATTATTATTGTCTCTTTTCTTTTGACGACGATACTGGAGGGCTAGCTGGTGAAAGGATCAACTTCATTCACAGTAGTAACAGTCTTAACACACCTCATACTACATACCGCATATAATTAATTCCAACTCTACTCCTTTTGGAGTCAACCAAAACTACGACAGTCGAATGGCGGGACGAACTCCGCAGAAGTTTACCGAAGATCAGAAACCTATACTTCTCAATTAAGAGGCGAGCACAAAGAAATCAAATTGGTTTATACTAGCTCGTAAAAACGATATTGGATATTGGAGTGTTTGAAATCGTTGGAAGATTGAAACACGAAGCGCGTCGTTTGTGCTTTTGCGGTGACTTCGCTTTAGTGGTCATGAGTGAAGTAAAGTATAAGCAACTGCATCATTTTCCATGTGGTGACCTGGCAAATCCAGATCGCTGCCTGTTAGTTTCCATTTGCTTGCATGGCGTTTTTGTTTGTGCTTCCAGTAGTGGTAAGTCAACGTAATTATTTTAATTTTGAAAATGAAAATTCGATTATTTCGAGTGGTGATACTATCTTAAAGGGACAAATTTTTATAAGACGTAAGTAGAAAGAGGCAGAAATAGTCATTTCACGTGGGAAATATTCACAGTAGTTATAGTATAACTGACAAAAAGTTCATGTCTGCTTGCTGCAATCTGAAGAAGAGGTAGTTTTGCTCAAACTATAGTTTTACAGATTATTCCTATTAAAGCTTCAATATAAGTTAAAGTTTAAAGCTTTTTTGTATTGAATTCGGGGGCATTGCAGAACTTTGATGCAGACTGCAGGTAATTGTCCCACACTCTGTAATGCGCCCGAAGAAAATGCTATCAGATCAATTGATTAAAGACAGTAGGCTGTTTTGGCTTGTTAGTCGTTGCAGTGTTTGTCTTTTCGAAAGTGATCACAAATAGAGCAGATGCTATCTGATTCTATAATATCGACCTGTCCATTAAACCCGAGTACACCATGCCAGGCTGTGTAGGACATGTTGCCACGACTTGGATTGGCAGTCACATGGAAACCCTCTAGATAAACGAGTGTCAATTGCTTAAGGAAATATAAGCAGATCGTCCCTTGAAATGTGTCACCTAAACAGAGAATGACTACCGGAAATGTTCATTCACACCTAACATATATATATATATATATATATATATATATATATATATATATATATGCATGCATGCTTAATTGTTTAAATTCAAACAACATCGAATTAAGGTAAAGAGAAGGTTGTTTACTTTTCAATAAGTATTAGAGCCTCACATATTAGTTATAAATTCTTGTCACTACACAACATTGTTTTTATGCTAATCACTGACTCAAAGGAGAAAGAAAAGACATTAAGGATTGTGTTTGGTTTCAAGTAATAAGAGTTTAAGCCTGTGTTTCGAATCAGTCTTGGTAGTGGGACTAATGCTCCATGTTCTGTCGTTGAGAATCTAAATGCTTGATAAGAAGAACATCATATTCACCACTTTTCCATTTCGCCTAAAGTTGATGACAGACGTACATGGTGCTACTAGAGTGAGATTGATTTTAATGAGTGATGCACAAATCTGAGAAGTCAAAGTTGTTTAACTCTTTTGAACAACTTCCTTTAGGTCGAAGACGTTTATAATTGTGATCGAAATCCTCCTCGGCGCATCAGTTTTTGTGTTTGTGCAGAACAAAAATCAGGTTAGCGCCAAAATGTTGATTGGCGTTTGTTTTATAAAGCTTATTGCTAAGATACGAAATGTCTCAGTAGACCTTGCAGTTTTGGAAGGGACTACGTCTCCTCGGTTTTCTGTGTGCAGGTTCTCATCACGCGGATGATGTCAGTAGGAAGTGTTATCCTCCTCGTTAATCGATTCCAGTGTAGTGGGTGTGTTATGGTTGCTTTTTTAAAAGCAACTTTTAATACTTGACGTGTGTTTGTGTATCATGTCAGTATTGTTATTTATTTAAACACAAACATGCTACTATGTGGACAACAGTATACTTGCTGCTTTCATCGAGTTGCGGTAGAGATTTAGGTGCTTCATAAGTATTCAATCGGTCACTTTTCTATTATTTTACAGGTCTCCTTTTATATGACACGAAACAGTATCTTGAAGCAACAGGAGCATGCGAACTTCGACGAGACAAACCACTTCCTAATCATAAACCAAATATTACTATTTCTTCTATTGATCCTATATGTTGGACAGCCTTTAATTCTGATGGCTTAACATTAGCTGTTTTAACTTCAAGTGAAAATCGTGGGGCACTAGTACATTTGGTCAATGTTCATCAACTCGTGAAGGTAGATCGATTTTGTGTGCATTGTCTTCATGTTTTTCTTACTGGTGTGTTCCTTCCCCTATGTTAATTCTCTGAAGATCTACGTGAGTTTCTTAAGTATTCATTCTGGATTTCTAGTGCATAACAGTGACTATTTTTTAAGTCAGTGTGCTGCTAAAAAGTATACATAGTCGTCTGAAAGCAGTGACAAAAGGTCAACTTATCTTGACGTCAGTTGTACATCTAGTTTTGCTTTCACCACCACATGTGATTTTCAGTTCTAAATAGAAAAGATTATATAATTTGATCCACTTTAATTATTTTAGTGTCGTATAACAAATAACTTCTTTTTGCTATCGTACATAAAAACAGAATGCATATGACGAATTTAATTTTCTGATGATGCCTTTTGAAATTTAGCATGTCGGTAACTTTTACATAGACTTAGGACTTTACTGGTGAGTTCATCAGTATTTTGACTTTAAGAAAGCAACGTCTGAAATCCTAATTCTGCTTTGTCTACCAAAGTTTGGCAGATTTGAAAATTCGGCGTGTCTTAAGTGCTCCACCTGCAGAGGATGAGTGCTGGTTCGAAATCTCTCTCTGCCTAATATAGTCTTAGAACTTAGGTGGTAACTTCACCTCTCACGCAGTATGCATGATTCATAGTTTGGTACATGAAAAGTCTGTCCGAATAACGGAGTTTTGTCATCACAATTTCGAGGAACACCCAGAACAGACAGCTTTTTAATCAGGTGTAGCTCATCCTTCTGTACACAGTTAAAGTTGAAAGTTGATGGTATGTTGAACTGTTTAATATAATTCTCTAAGTAACAGAGCTTTTTCGTATACATCCAAACACGTCTGTAAAAATCGTTACTTTGTGTGTTGTATTCTCCTATATTTTCTCTTTGCAAAATGGTTTCTAACAAGTACTGTGAATGTTATTTTTATTTGACTGTACTACTTTTACGTTCCACCATGGAGCGTCCAAATCTGGTGAATTTTGACTCAAATTGATTTGCATTCTGTTTATATGTCTGTCGTTTACTTTATTTTAATATCGAAATTATTTATTTTTAAATTTAGCAAGCATCAGCTGATTTGTTAAGCATTAGTCGTTCTGTTCGTGTTTGCGGTGGTGAACCTACTGGATGGAGAGTACGCGACTTCTCGTGGAGTCCTACAGACCCAACTACATTCGTTGTTGCCCTTGAGTCAGGCGCAGTTCGTCTTTTTAACTTTTCATCTGATGCTAGTGGAGCTATCACTCTTGTTGGTCAACTGCCATCTACTGCAGATTGTCGATGTGGTAAGCTTTCTTTACCTACATGACCTACCTAAATATGATTGGTCATTAGTATGTACTTTTGTTTTTATTTAACTGTGTAATTTTCATGAACTTTATTTTATCATTGTTAACCATGTTAGTTGTAAAGCGTTGTAAAGAAACTACGAAATGATATCATCTCGCGAAATTTGTCTTCTTAATGCCTTACTCACCTTAATATTTGTTAGTAAAATTGTAATAGGAAACTCAAATATACCAAGATAAAATAATACTTCTCTTTAGCATTATTTTGTTTACATTTTTAAAATATGTTACTGCTTAGTTTTTAGGACAAACTGAATCTTAAAAGATATGTGTATACAGTTAGGAATATCACGAGTTATTTAGCTTGCTGTCTTAAACCCTGAATAAGTTGAGAGTCTTGATTGTATGGTCGTTTTGGATGGTGTGATTTACGCGTTACAAAGTGATATAATTTGTATTAATCCACCGACAAGTTAATATTCCAGGGTAGGTATCTCTGGGCATCTGTTTCGTTTTAGTTTGGGAATCGTTGACAGTACTCACTGATGCTCTCACTGGGATCAAACACATAATCTTCAGTTTATGAGCCCAGCCCTTGAATCATTCGTCTGCCAAGTTGGAATGCAGTGATTAGTGAATTGACTTTTTGTTTGAGTTTCTGGTACGAATTATTGAAGAGTTTCAAACTGAAATGAAATGTCTGTCCATTGATCCCTGGTTTTAAATCTCTACAAGCCAAAAACTAAAAATGACGAAGCAACTGTCGAGTACTCCCAGGTTTTCTGATTGTTCTCTGACCGATGTCAACTCATGATGAAATCCTGTAGCCAATCAATCAAATCCCTACAAACCAATACTTAAAAAAGTTTTATTCACTTCTCCTCCCAATTCATACTATGTAGTCCACGAACCGAGAGGTTCTCTGGCGATGTTTGGCTATAAAGGGATTACCGAGAAAATACATTGCACCGATTAAGGCACTCTACTCGTACTCATACAGCCAGGTGAGGGCTTACGGCGAGTTGTCATCTGAAGTGGTGACGACTAGTGGTGTCCGTCAAGGATGCCCATCATCGTTGGCGTGGGTCGGTAGGAGATTGTCGCTCCTTCTGGAACACGTGTGTAGATACCGATCACGCACTGGTCCGGGCTCGTGTGTGCTTACGACTGAACGGACGTAGGAAACAGCTGGCGGTAAAACCATCACGTCCCCAGCTCGATCAGGAAACTAAATCCCTATTTGAGGAAGAACTAGCTAAACGCATATCTGAGTTCGACAGCTGTGCTCACCCTGGAGAAGCCTGGAAGAATATTCAGTCAGCTATAGATACAGCTGTAAAAGCTGTGAATAAGGTAAATCCAAAGGTGAGTAAAAACCACTGGATTTCGACTGCCTCATCCGAACTGATAGATGCTAGAAGACTTATTCCGGCGAGCTCCGAATTCAATGAGGAGCGAAAGCTGCACAAAAGGAAACTTACTAAAAGTCTCCGCAAGGACCGTGAACAGTGGTGGCTGACAAAGGCAAAAGAGATGGAAAAAGCATCGGCGATAGGCAACACTAGGCAACTCTTTAGACTCATCAGGGAAACGGGTGGGAGAAGGCAAATCATAAGTGAGACTATTTCTGAGAAAAATGGCTCCTTAATTAGCTCTCAGGATAGACGCCTTGAACGCTGGAAAGAACACTTTGAGGGACAATTTAACTTGCCTACAGCCACACTGAACCTCCCCTACATCCACCACACCCGAATGGGATATAGACACTGGTCCGCCGTCTGTAAGTGAGGTTACAAAAGCTATCAGTAATTTGAAACGAGGCAAAGCGGCAGGACCCGACGGAATTATTCCGGAGGTGTTTAAATATGGGGGTGACATACTAGTTTGTAGATTAACTGAGGTACTAGGCAAAGTCTGGGAATCAGAGACAGTGCCATCAGACTGGGGTAAGTCACTTATTATACCGATATTCAAGAAGGGAAACAAGTCCTCGTGTGATAATCATAGGGGGATCAGCCTAACGAACATAGTCTCTAAAATCCTAGGCTCAGTAATCATGCATAGACTAAGCAGAACTCGGGAGGAACAGACAAGGGAAAATCAAGCAGGCTTTAGACCAGGTAGAGGGTGCATAGATCATATCTTCACTCTTCGACAGATTCTAGAACATAGACACACTTTTCGGCGTCCAACAATTGTCATATTTCTTGACTTGAAGGCGGCCTTCGACTCCGTGGATCGAAAGGTACTATGGCAATGTCTGACTGTGAAGGGAGTGCCAAGAAAGTACATTGCACTAATCAAGGCACTCTATTCAAACTCACGTAGTCGTGTAAGGGCTTATGGGGAATTGTCATCTGAATTGGTAACAACCAGTGGTGTCCGACAGGGATGTCCACTTTCCCCATTTCTGTTTAACTTCATCATAGATATGCTGATGGAAGTATCCTTAACTGAACGTAATGACTTAGGAATCGACTTGTTACCAGGGAATAGTCTTATGGACTTAGAATATGCAGATGACATAGTCCTGTTAGGGGAGGATGCTGACAAAATGCAGAGTCTTCTGAACACCTTGAGCAGCAATCTTCGTATGTTTGGCATGCGATTCGCCCCTGCAAAATGTAAGATGCTGCTACAGGACTGGACCACGTCAACTCCTAACTTAGTGATAGGGAGTGAAGTGATAGAACATGTTGACCACTTCACCTATTTGGGAAGTTGTATTAGCACCAACGGACTGATTGGCGATGAAATCTCAGCACGGATCCGAAAAGCTCGAGCTGCTTTCGCTGACTTACACCATCTCTGGCGTAGGCGTGACATCCGGTTATCAACCAAGGGACGTGTGTACTGCTCATCAGTTCGCTCCGTCCTTCTCTATGGCTCTGAAACATGGCCAATACGCGTTGAAGACATGAAAAGGTTGACTGCTTTCGATCATAGATGTCTGCGATCTCTGTCTCACGTTAGGTGGTTTAATAAGGTAAGTAATGTTGACGTTAGGCGTAGAGTGTTGGGCAAAGAGGGAAAATCAATCGACGAGGCTATAAAGTTACATAGACTAAGATGGCTAGGTCACGTGGTGCGCATGCCTAACCACCGCCTCCCCCGACGGGCATTACTAGCTGATATAGGTTCAGGTTGGAAAAGAGCCAGTGGTGGCCAAACAAAAACATGGCATCAATCCATGAAATCCTTGACAGTTAAACTGAGTCAGGTAGGGAGATGCAGACTCCCGGGTTGGGGCCCTCGGGACTCTAGGAATCAATGGCTGGAGACAATAGGTGACATGGCTCAAAATCGTTGTCAATGGCCAGCGCAGATGTATTCAGTCTCTGTAATCTTTCATATTCCTTTCTACCATTACCCATTCTGTTTCACTCTTATACTTGTCAAACTCTATTGATTCTCTTCACTCATCTTCTTGTCTACCTCTGTGTGCTATTTGGAACGTGGCAACTCGAACTGGTGCACTTCGGTGCCAAGCTCTATGTTGAATCCAGACAGAGACAGACAGAGCCCATCATCCCTATTTCTATTCAACTTCATCATAGATATACTAATGGATTTAACCCTAACTCCCTTCAGTGACTCAGGGATTGACTTGCTACCAGGGAATAATCTCGTTGACTTAGAATATGCAGACGATATAGTCCTTCTAGGCGAGGACGCTGACAAAATTCAGAGCCTTCTAAGCACCTTGAGCTGCAACCTACGAATGTTTGGCATGCGATTCGCTCCCGCCAAATGCAAGATGATGTTACAGGACTGGACTACATCGACGCCTAGTTTAAAAATAGGAAGTGAAGTGGTAGAGCACGTTGACTGCTTCACTTATTTGGGAAGTACCATCAGCCAACGTCAGTGGGTTGATCTCTGACGAAATCTCAGCGCGGATACAGAGGGCTCGTTTCGCATATGCCAGTTTACATCGTCTCTGGCGTAGACGTGATATCCGGCTGGCTGTCGGCCAAAGGACGGGTGTACTGCTCATCATTCCGCTTCGTCCTCCTTTATGGGTGTGAGACCTGGCCATTGAGAGTGGAAGACATGAAAAGATTAGCTGTCTTTGATCATAGGTGCCTGCGTTCTATCTCCCGTGTGAAATGGTATAATAAGGTGAGCAATATTGAGGTTAGGCGTCGAGTTCTAGGTAAACAGGGGAAGTCAATCGACGAAGTTGTAAAGTTAAGTAGACTGAGATGGTTAGGATATGTGTTACATATGCCTAGTCGTCGCCTTCCTCGACCAACAGGTAATGCTGGCTGACATAGGATTGGTCAGGCTGGAAAAGAGCTAGCGGAGGTCAAACAAAAACATGGCTGCACCAGTCAATGAAATCCACAACAGTTAGTCTTAGCCACGTAGGGACGTGTAGACTTCCTGACGGGTTGGGGTCCTCGGGACGGTAAAAACCAATGGTTGTAAACAATCGGTGACATGGCTGAAAATCGTTCTCAGTGGCTCAGATGCATCCTTTCCTTGTGACTTATGATTTCCAATGAGACTGTTTTTGTTCTTCGTTACTACTATTTCCTTTGTCTCACACCTCTGTTTACTGTCTCTATTATGGATTTCTTGTACTTTCTTCTGTTGCTTTGTGTGCTACATGGAGGGAGTGTGGCGACTTGAACTTCCGCACATATGTGCAAAGTTCTATGTCGAAAACAGACAGACAGTCCACGAACAAAACTATATAAACATAGTGATTTTCACTGCTTTCAACTCAATAAAAGAGTATATATTATAGTAAAATGATTCAGCTGTTAAGTTTCATTCAAGCAACAGAAGTATTGTGTTTTCAATTTGAATTCCTAACTTTTTATCAATATGATTTTCATGTGATTCTTGTTTTGGAAAAAAAAGCATTGTTACTTTTTAAAATTCCTTATCATTTTACATTTCAAAACTCATGATAGTATAGTGAGCATTTCTGCTTACATACAGAAAAATACGTGGATAAGTAGATTATCATATGTTCATGAAATTCATGATTTGGGAATCAATACTTTTTTCTAGCAAATACTTGTGATATTTATAGCAGTGTAGGAAATTTAAGCTGTATTTATACACAACACAGGTTAGTTGAGTTCATTTATTGATTCTCGTTTATTGAAATAGCCAGGGACAATAGGATATGTTACATAGTGTATAAAATTGGTTGACTGGTAGAGGTATCTAAAAAGATTTGCTGGATTATATCATTTCCCAAGTTTCCATCCATTTGAAAACCTTCAAATCTTCGCAGAATGTTCAAAGTACTCTCACACCAATTTGTTGATGTAAAAAATCAGTGCGGAAAAATATAGACACGTGAGCACGTTTCATCTGCTAATCATCATTCAGTATCATAAAGCTTATCCCTTTCTCTCTCAAAGCTTTTTCTGCCTTGTTGGAGCATAGGTTAGGAACTGAGGATGAGTTTCTCTCTGTTAGCCGTCTTTGACTACAGATGTTGGCGTTGTATATACCGTGTTAAGTGTTATAATATGGTGGGCATTATTGAGGTTAAGCTTAGTGCTAGGTAAGGATTGTAACTTGACAGATGAAGTTGTGAAGGTGAATCGATTGAGATGACTAGGGTACATGTTGCGCATGCCGAGCCAACGCCTTCCTAGACGAGCATTGTCAGCTGACATGAGAATTAGGTCAGAAAAAAGTGAGGGTTGATTAAATCAGATCGTGGTATCATTCCGTGAAGTCGTTAGTAGTTGGTTTGAGCCGCACAACGACGTGTAGACTGTCTAGTTAGGATTTTCAGGGTGCTAAGAACCAATAGCTTGCGACTACTTGTGATGTGGCTCAGACTCATTCTTAATGGTGCGGATGCATTCGCTCTTTGTGATCTTCAATATCCACTACACTGTTATGTTTTTCCCATGTTACTACTGTTCCCCTATATTTCTGCTCATTATAGTTCAGTTGGTTTTATTTTCTCTCTCTCTTTTCTCTACTTTTGTATGGTACATGTACTGTATCAGCTTAAATTGTTGCACTTCTGTGAAACTTCTATGCTGAAACTGAGTCATTCAGAGTTTTGTTCAACTACTCATTATTCATTTGAAGGCACATTGCAATTTTGGTTGTATAACTGATTTCAAAATCGATATGAAGTAAACAAATCTGCGAATGATTTTGAGCCGTCATCTAGAATCTTCACCTATTGATTCTTAACATTTTCAGAGCCTCAACTAGACAACCTATATCTTCGTATGTGGCACAGATTAGCAGTCAGTAGCTTCATGAATCAATGCCATGTCTTGGTCTAAGAACTCCTAATTGTTTTCTAACCTAGTCCTAATTTAGCTGATGTATTCTTTTATAAGAAGAAAATACTGTGGCACTCAGAATTAAATTTGCTTTATAACTGGAAGTTCTAAGTGACCATTGGTTGTGTCCTGACTGCTTATTGTAACCTTCAACAACTCACTGCATATCGTATCTGGTATGAGATTATGTCATACTGGAGTATGAAAGTTCTTTTGTATTTGTTTTATTTTTATTGATCTTCTCTTTTGGCTTTTTAAAAATTAGTTTCTTGGAGTCCGAAGGGCAAGCAACTTGCTCTCTGTTTGAAAGGATCTTTGGCCACTGCCAATGGTGTCATGCAGGGTCCTTTAATTCTTCAGGTCGATCCACAAATGCATCAAAAGCGTATAGTACCACTTGTTAATTTGTTCAACGCAAATAATAGTAAGTGTTTTCAAAGATAAGAAGAATCATTACTTTATATAATTTTTTATTATAACGGCAATGCTAGTTGCTTCAGATATTGGTGGTCTAAAGATTGTCCATTTCGTCCAACTTTTTAACTTGTTTTGTACTGGATCTAGGTGTGTTGCCTCTTTCTTCAAAATTTGTTTTTCTAAGCATAAAATTTCAACACATTGAACTCATTCACTTTTGACCAATTTTTCTGCTAACATAATGTGTAAAGTGAAGATGTGGCGCACTGATTTAAGTACTTAACTTCCAGTCTCCAGCTCGAACCTCACTCCATTTATTTCAGTGTAGGTGACTGAGTAGTAGGCATCATTAACAGTGCTGTAGACGACAAATCTGCTCATGGGGATTGAGTTCTGGCTAACATAAAGTGAGGAAGTTACGTGCCATTATGTGTCATCATGAGTACAATATTCAGCCAAGATATTCTTCAATAAAGCTATTACTAAGCTGTACATTTATATATATATATATATATATATATATATATATATAATTTCGGAAACTGTCTCCCATGAGAAAACTTAAAAACTGGGTGTCAATGGTAATAATAGTGATAACAGTAGTGCTAATCACTAAAGGTTTTTTTGCAGTTACAATCACAGGTAAACTTCGGGTGACAATGACGTATTCTGTGTAGTAAATAAAATCTTTCGTAGAATGTTTATATCTTACCAAGATTTACAAATAAATAAGACTTCCAGGGAATGATTACGTCACAAGGTGAGTTAGCTTGGGTGAAATAGGGTGTTATTTTTACTTGTTCATTCAAACTTTATCCGACTAAACAGGGAGTCTAAAATCTCACTTAGAAGAGGCTTATTATTCAATCTTTTCTGTATGCATATTCGTATTTTCCAGCTCTAAATGAAACTATTCTTTCCCCATTTTTATTCACGCTTGTCTTGTGTCTATCCATTCACTAATAACATTTGTCAAAAAAATCAAAAACAATATGATGTTACGCTACTTGACTATATCATAATTTAAAAATAAATTGAGTCATTCGTTGTTATAACTGAGAATTGTGTGAGTTATTATTCAAACGCAAGCTTGGTACATCATGGACACAAAGAAATGTGTCACACGAAATTTTATAGTTTGTGCAAGGACTGGGATACTTCCCGGACTCCCTGACAGAAGTAGATGGTTGTCTTAATGGGCCATTCCTTGGCATTTTACTGGAACTCTGGTCCACAAGTTAATGGAACAGCATCAGGAGCTAAGTTCCCATGGTTTCTGGAGACCACGCCTATCAAGTTATTCGGATTCTTGAGCCTATGTACACCAGGGTTTAGAATAAGGGTTTTCCAGCTCTTCTAGGTTAATCAGCATGTCAACCAGTCTGGCTGTAAGCGCCAGATGTTTGAATTTGCTCTTTCACTTCTGCGAGGGATATCCTCGCAGTGAAAAGGCAGAGACTGGGACTTACTTGGGAGAGGCTGTGAACTGACGGTCATACGATAGGATTTCGAGAGAAACGCCGAAGTCTACCCACCCTTGGTCTCCCCTACCAGGTCGTTTGTGGAGGTGTGCGCGGAGTTGGAACTGTAGTCTATTGAAACTGGCATTTGATTTCCAGTTATTCAGCTGTGGGTTTAACCTTTCCCCCCACAGTTGTAGGAATAACGTAATACCATGTGTGGGTTTTTATTTATTGCATGAATCTGAAATAGGTTGCTGAGTTACAGTTCGTTTCTTGTCTAGCGCAACCGTGGACACGTTTTGATATAGTTCTTTATCTGACAGTCTGGACATTATCAAAACACATTGCAGACGTCCAGATTAGATGCACAATTGAATGTTTTAAAATCTTTGGAGATTAGGGAAGTGATTATTATTGCAGATGTCTTTAATTTTTCGTTTTTTCGGGAACACTAATTTCTAATATCAAAGAACTACTAAATTTTTTAGGAACACATTTCTCTATGCTTATAAACATTAAATGTTTAGAGTGTTAATTGAAGTTTTTTCTTTAAATGATATCTCGTAAGTGATAAATTATAATTACTTGTTACATATGTTCGTTTATTGATTTGTTTCAGATTGGAAGGATAGCTGTCCAGTTGACTTATTGTGGACATCTTCGTACAACTTTCTTTTGGCTGTTAAACAACCTAAAAGTGAAAATCGTGCTTATTGTTCAACACAAGTTCTATACATCAGTACAACTGTAAGTGTTGATGCCTTTATACTTTCCTGTAGAATGTAAATGTAAATTATTTGATAGCAAGGCTGTCCCAAGTATCCTTGGATAGTTTGCAGACTGTTATTGCTATGATTTTTTCTAGGATAGCTGATAAATCTCAGTCAGTCAACTTTTCGGGTAACATTCAATGTCTATTAATTCGAAATTATGGTGAAATGAAAATGTCGACCGCAGTGAGATTTGAACTAGCCATTCCCAGATAACTATACCATTTTGATTTGTAGCGAAGACATGCGTCTTGTAGTTCAGCTTAATGGAGTGCCCAGCTTGTAGCTTATTGGTTTGTTTGTTCAGATTTAGAAATAATCTTCAGATTCTTTATGGAATATGCTCTTATTATACCCACTAACTTACTGTTAGTGGCAAATTGTCCAGGGACACGATAAATACACAAAAGACGTAACAGCAAAGAAAAAATTTTCTTTTCGATGAATAATTTTGAAGAGCTGTTCAGTCGCATATTGATTTTTATAAGGAATTTGTAGAATCAAATTTCGGTTACTTTCTTCTAGAAAGCGTATTGCGTAATGTGAGGTGTATTCTAATAGGACATGACTAAACGGAGATTACAGAAAGGAATGGAAGATGGGGTTACGTAACGATTTACTGATAAGTGCGAATCCATGCGGAAACGGTGAAAGAGTTTCCGATGGTTTCAAACTTTTTATATCAGTCATGAATTAGTGTCTTTGCAGCGTTTTTATATGACATTGGATGCATAATCGCGAAATTTTTCTCTTAACTCATAAGATGATAGCTCATGCAATCCGTGAGTTCTTTGTAATGTTACCTTACGTTACCTTATGTTGCTGGAACGTAACGTATCGCTTAAAAGAAAACATTCTTTGCTATTGTGTCTTTTGTTAATAGCGCGATAAGTGTTTTCCATGAATAGTAACTATTCATATAGTTATGGAATAGTAACTATAGCTAACAGATTTTTCAATATCTTACTTAATTTTATTTGATTTGGTTGGATGTGAAGCTGTGGCTCATTAGCTTAGGCACTGGATCTCCAACAAGTGGGTCACAAACTGCAACCGCGCTCCATCTACGTAGGTTTATTCAGCTAGGCAGTTACACTAGCTGTTACACAACCGGTGTGGCTTACTGCCAACTAGGTGTAAATTGCAAGTGGTTTTTGAAAAAATCTTCATGAAATTTTCGTTGTTTCCGGTTAACTAGTGGAGAAGACGCAATATGAAGTGTGTACGTCATTTATTCAGACAGAAAACGCTGAAGTTTATATTGAAACTGAATGTGTTGAAAGGGTTACACGAGAGTAGCTTAGGAAATTAAACTTTGAGGAAAGGGATAGAAAAATTAATTGCTTCTCTGTCCGCCAATAATTAGTTGCTCATTATTTAACACTGTGATTTCTGATTAGTCCATTTCTAGACTAGTTGTTCGTCGAAATTATTAACCAATTTCGGGTGTAATTATACTCCTAATTTACTTTTCCTTTCTTATGTATTAGTCAAAATCACCTGAACCATCAGCAGTTACAATCGATGGTTTGAGTAGTCCACATGTGGAATATAACAAAGCACAATATTATTTTCGTTTTTTGGGCACAAATTATGTTGCTGTTAACTGGTCATATGTTGGAGAAGAGGTAGTTATTCTCCAGTTACCTACTACACCTGATAATAACATGCCTCAAGCTTTAATGAGTATTGAATTACCTGTTGATGGCCTACCTGTTAGTATGGATGTTGGAGTATTTCAGAAAGTAAGTTGTTTTCTTTTTCAAAAACGAAACAGTTTGATCTGATAAAAAGTTTATCATTTTGATTGGCCACTAGTTAATAACTAACGTCATGAGTCTTGTCCTTCGTCCGATGCAGACTGACCTCTATCATCCAAGTCCTATGGAAGGCCAACCACAAACCCGAATAGCTCAGTGATAACTTCTCTGACTGCAGCACTGGGTCACCCGGGTTCGAATCTCGAAAGGGACATGAGAGAAATCCTTCAAGATCACAGGTACTCCTTGCTGATGAGTGCCGACAAGTACGAAATCTGGGTCGAAGGCTTCCTACCGATTGCCTCCAACCATCTAATAATTATTTATCGTTTAGATTGCAAGGTTGTTTAAAGTCTTAATGTGTTTTTCTTGAAGATAAAAAATGAGTCGGTTTTTTGCATATTTTGCATCCACTCTAGCGGTTAGTTTTGATCAGTCATGTAGTAGTATCATTTTATGTTCGAAAGATACGAAACAATGTTTAATCTCATACACAAATTATAGTTTTCAGGGTAGCTGATAAACCCCAGTCAATCGACTTTTCGGGTAACATTGAATATCTATGGATTCGAAATTATGGTGGGATACCTTCATTCATACATTGTTGAGTGGTGATTGTAAAAGTGTATGTCTATGGAGGACTCTATTAGTTTCTGTCAATCCGAGCGACAAATTTTTATATGCTTATGAGTTTTGGTACTCCCTTTGTGGGTGAACATTATCGTTACCTTTCGTTCAATGAAGTGAAATGCTACTTTTATGTAAAGGGGCATGGCAAATTCGTTTGTTTTAGGGTCCGTTAACTGCGTAAGTAGTGGGCAGGTAATCAATGTCCTGCCGCCTCTAGTTTGTCCTACCCTGTGCCTGTTCAGCCTATGAAAAAACGATAAGTCTTAATATCTTAGTTGGCACAGGTCGCCAACCATGCACATGGTCCGGGGTTCGATCCTCTGCCAACGCTTACACGATATCAATGGTCAGCTTGCAAAATTGGGCTACCGATATCACATGCTGAAAATTCCCTACTCATACCAAAAATACGGTGTAGAGTCATGCTATAACCAGAAAAAGATAAATACATATCTAAACATTCATTTATTTACTTAACTATTTGAGTTAGTTGTATGTCATTTTTACTAGAAAAATATGCATTTGTTAGTGATTGGTAGTGAGATCTATGGGATAGTGCAAAAATGGTCTGCACCTACTTTTAGTTTAAAGATAGGAAGTGAAATGGCTGAGTATGTTGACCTCTTCATTTGTTTGGGAAGGTGCATCACCCCTGATGAACTGATTGCTGACGAATTTTCAGCAGGCATTTCAAGGAAAAAAAACTAGTTTGGCGTTTGCCAACTATACGTCATCTTTGGCATCTACTTAATATTCAATTATACTATCCAATTGTACAACACAATTCAATCTTTCATTATTTATAACTATGAAACTTGGCTGTTGAAAGTGTAAGATTTGACCAGGCTAGCTATCTTTGACCACAGATGTTTGCGTTCTGTCTCCCGTGTTGAATGGTATACTGTGGTGTGTAATATTTGGGTTAGGCGTAGAGATGTTTGGTAAGTGGAGTGAATTGGCTGATGAGGTTGTGAAGGTGAAACAATTGAGATGACTGACTAGCATACGTGTTACACCTAAGCAACCATCTCTTTCTTCATCGAGGAATGTTGACTGGCATAGGATTAGGCTGGAAATTTACTCGTGGACAGATCAAAACATGAAATCAGTCAATGTGAAGTCTTTGATTGTTGTTTTCAGAGAGGTGTAGATTCCCCGGTGGGGGTCCTCGAGACTGTTGATACTATGGCTCGAAATGGTTCTCAGGGGTGCAGATATATTTAATCTTTATAATCTCCCAGAAACCACTATATTCTCATTATTCGCCATGTAATTGTTATTTTTTTTTTGCGTACATTTCCGTTCATTACGTTTCCTCTAAGTTTTCTTCCCTACCTTTATGTAGTATATGGGCTGTGGCAACTTAAACTGCTGCACCTCTGTGCAAAGTTCTACTTTGGAAACCCAGCAGTTCATCTCATTTTCTCCTATTTAAAGGTTCAGAGGTGATGTTTTTTTATATGTTTTACATTGTTTTGTTTTGGTGCATTTCTGGACTTTCATATTGTGCCAAACTCATTTGAATAAATGTAGACTCCTTTGTTGCTGTTGATGTTTTTTTTATTTTGTTCTTTGCTAGCAGTGTAAGTCAGTCTTTCCTATTTCTCCTTATTTTTTATGAATTAGGATAATGAATCAATGGAGAATTCTGTAGTATACTTAATTACATGCTTGTCTAGTGGTAATGTTTGCCCGTATATGTTAAATTCAACTAGTCAAATGATACTGCTCAATCCAAATCTTCCAAAAGCATTAAATTTACAAATTCCTCAACCACCTGTTTCTACGGTTGTGACACCTTCTTCAGAGATGCCGAAATCCGTTTCTGTAACATCATTTCCAAGTAATATCAATAATTCTACGACATTTGGTCAGGGGAAGCCAACTTCGACTCCATTATTCAATCTGAATATCTCTGCACAACCATCACCAGTTAATACAACCACCTTCAGTTCGCAGCAATCGGCTACCACACCCATACCGTGTACGTTTAGTCAGAGTGTAGCATAAATGTGTAGAATTTTCGGTGAATATGGCCTTTGTGTATAAGTATCAGTCCAAAATTATTCTGCATGGTATATTTTATTACGGGACGCTCCTGTTATTCTCTCGTACAACATCCTGCATTTTCTAGGTGTGTTACTAGCTGGTAAAGTAGGCGAGACTTAGATGTACGTCGACCGGGAATGCTACCCGGACCTCTCGCGTGACTGGTGATTATTATGCCATAATTCAGTCACATGCTAATGTTTGGTAGTAGCTCACTTGAATTCCTCTACCATCGTACTGTTGGTTCTATTTCGTGGAACAACCAAATGGACAGTTAAGGTGTTAGATATGAAATAGGTTGGATGTGTTTTATGCCTTCTCGAAACTATATTCCACGTTAACACAGTGTTAGAGTATCAGTAGCAGGTGGCTTTCGAACAGTTAAGGATTGGTACAGTAAAATATAACATCTATTTGTGCGGCTTCTTAGATTTAGTTGTATCTTTCTCATTGATTTAAGCAGTCAAGTTTAGGCCAATGGGTCAGGAGTTCGATTCCTATTCCCAACCAGTTCAACCTTTTCAACTGGGTAGTATCATCAGCCCGGCATACATAGCTAATTAGCTGAGTATAAGTTGCTACAAGTTGCATTTTGTTCTGTATTCCATTCTAGTTACAGTGTTGTGTTTTTACATTATATTTCTTTTTCGTGCTTTAATGGTTTTATGCTGTTTTATTGTATTGTTTTCGATTTGTATTGTACCTTTAAGCATAAATTCCAGGTTTATTTATTTATACTACCGGTATATTTAATTAAATCGCTAGTCGACTCAAGTATATTGTGTTTTAGCCACTGAGCATATTTGGGAAATTTGATTATGCTATCTATTTGTATGTTGGCTAAGGTAGCGAAAAAGTAATCCCGCTACATACGAGTCAGTTTAGCTTACTTTCTAAGTGTTTGTTTGCAGAGATTTGACCAATTTTAAGTCTGATTATGAACTGATTTCACTTAGACAACTACTGAAAACCATTAGGAACTGGATCGTTGTTTCGCTCTTATTTGAGAATCTTCAGTAGTGCTCACCTGCGGCCCCACCAGGAATCTCTAGGTTAGTAGTCTAACCCGTTGACCATTGAGTCACTGGGATGAAATCCAATATTCCGTGAATTCTGACTGCGGTCGATTCGTGATATATATGGTCACCTCCAGCAAATGCCCTTGGCAGGTATCAGTGCTAACGCTCGACCTGGTGTGAACCCTACTAGTCAGGACTTCTCTCGTATTGAAAGAAGTTAGGACTCATGGACCATCGAATTCCTTCCATCTCAGTAGCTGAGTAAGTGGTCAACGAACTCACCTTCTAAACTGATGGTCCCGGAATCTTCTATCTTTAGTGCAGTCATGGGTGCTTATCACTACTGTAGAGTCCCTAACCAGGGCGAGACAGCTGTCCAGTTCTTCATGATGGTTTCAAATTATTAGCTTGCATACGTTTGCAGACGAACTTTCTCATCATTAATCATTTTTTCCAGTAATGAGGATGATATGTTCCATAGTTATAATCTATTATTATTATTATTATTATCGCCTTGGTAGTAACTACCTTTTCACCATAGTTTGATCGCTTTCAGTTTATCCATTTCTGTCCAAAAACTACGATGTGAATTTTCTTCTTGTTGTTGTTCTTGTCGTCACCTTTTTGATTTACCTGATTGTATTTACTAAGTGTGAATTCAATTTAAACATGCTGATTAGTTGGTGTGGTTAGTTAATTAGTTAGTTAGTGGGGGGTATGTATATCATGTTTTACGATGTGCGTATTTGTGTGTGAGAGAGAGTAAGTTAAGAGTATAACAATCAATCGATTATGCCAATGTCTACACTTATTGATCAGTTGATGTTCTTTTAGCTACTCTCAAATTGTTTATTCTAAGTCTTTTGCTCTCATTCCTCCTTCTCTTCTACTCTCTGTTCTCTTGGTAAGCAAATGCAAAACTGAAGGTAACATGTGATCTTGTTGTGTTTTTATTTTTTGTTAACAAAAGGGAGTGTTTAATGTAAGATACCTGTATGCTTGTTTCTGTGCCATTTCGGAGTTGGCCTAACAAAATGTGTGTGCGTGTTTTATGTAACCTTCATGATGTAAGGTGATATCTATTGGATAGAGAAATCTTAACCTTTTTATACTTGTTTTATTATGAATGTGTTATTCCTTAAAATTATAAAATAAGGTGATGGGTGTGTTGGTTTGCCTACCCTAGGAGAGTATCATTATATCCACTTAACCTAACCACTACTGTGGATTTCTGAGGTGCATTGTGTGAATAGGAATGATAGTTGTTGACTGTTTTTGAATATGCAAAATGAGATATTGGACTCTGTACCGAGTTGTGGTTGTTATTTATTCCCTTAGATTTCGAGTGGAAGATAGGGCTTCAACAGCACGTCTCCATTTCATCCAATTTCCTATATTCGTCTCTAGATGGTTCTCATCTCCTCACCACACAATCTCCTCCATGTCACCTTTGGACCCATTCGGGTTCCTCTTGATATGCTCAGCATGTTTCTAATCCATTTTATTCCTTTCAACATAATTGTTGAGCATTAAGTTCTTGATTGGTTCGTTATCTTAATTCTTTGTTGCTTATTCTTTGTGGCCATCTGTACGAAATACTGAAGTTGTGTACTAGTAGAGTCAGTGAATGGTGAGATTTTATTTTTTATTTATTTTTTTTATTTTGATTTACAGCTTGATTCCACACCGTATTTTTGGTACAAGTATGGAATTTTCAGCATGGATATCGGTAGCCTAAATTTTTCAGGCCGACCGTAGATATCAAGTGTGCGCCGGCAGGGGATCGAACCTCGGACCATGTGCATGGTCGGCGAGAGTCCTAACCACTGTGCCACCGACGCACAGGGTTCTAACAAGTCAGAATTTTCTATATTTAGTCATTTGCGTTATTGAATTCAAGTCGAGTTACATCACACAATTGTAGAATTTGAAAATTGACGGCTCATTGGTTTCATACTTAGTGGCTTACAGTAACTACACTCTCGCCGTAAAACTTGGCGATTCTGCATTCGAAGGCTTGTGTGTATGTGTGTTCACCGTTTTAAACTACTGATGAGTCTGGAATTGGGATTATTCTCAGCTCTTTAATTTCTGACAGCTTAACATCTGATGTCATTTCGCCATAAAATTGATCTCGATTTCTCTCCGTCATCATTATTTAGTTCCATGATTTTTCTTCATTTCTTGGCAAATACAAACGTCTTCTCTGATTGCGTATGTATTATTCACTTCTATATCTACCTACTATATTTTTACAGCGAATACAATTAAAGTATCAGAAGAACAAAAAACAAGTTTATTTCAAATCCCTACACCTACAAGTATCACTTCCGACCGACTAGAGAATTTACCGCCTATCGTTGAACAGGCGGAAACAAAAGAAAAGCCAGTTACCAAATGCGAACAACCATCATCGAACAAGTCCCGAGACATACCATTGCCCAAATCTGTTCAAGCAGCAGCAGCTCACTTTTCTTCAGCTTTAAAAGCAGAAGCTGAAGCTGGACGTGCAGTTTGGCAAAATTTATTCAACATTTTAATTAATGGAGAAGTTGATGGAAAGTCTGGCGAGTCTAAGGGTTTAGATATAATTGAAGCACGTTTATGCGATGTCAACCGATTTTTGACGGCAATGGATGAGGTATGTTCTGATTCTTTTTTTTATTTTATCAGCTAAATATCTTAAGAAATAAATAGTTTTAAATGTCCTACTTTATTTTCTATCCTATTTTGAGTGAACACGAGAATTTAATGAAATAAGGTGACAGAAACTCAATACAGAAAAACACGATGACAATGTTGCAATGATATCTTGATGGGAGTTCAAACGTGAGAGTAGTCTTTAAGTATCTGATCACGAACTGACTTTAGTTAGAGGACCATTGGAAACAAGGGAGTCCTGGTTTCTGAGTCCTCGCCAGTATGTACTTGATGACTCCGCCGGAGGTCGTACCCAAAGACCTTCAGGTTACGAGGTCAATCCGCTGTTTATTCATTCACTAAAACGGAATCCAATGACCAGTGATTTCTAGCTTCTGTCTTCAAAAAACCGATAAAATTTAATCTCAATTAGTGGAGCAACTTTATTTACATTTAAAATCTCCATTTACTGTCTGTTCTGTGTATGGACAGAGTTACTGTAGGTCTTATGCATGGCTGGTTTAGTTTTCGTCCACATGTGAAAATGTGTGATGTCACAAGGTTCTATGGTCTCTGACATATTACTCGTTAAGAAAAAAACTTCCTTTTTTATGCATTTGACAATGAGCCACACTTATTGCTTAGGCGAGAATTAAACTACATGGCTGTTTGAATATCGCTAAATGGAGTATTGTTCGAACTTGTCTTCCGGTAGTTGAAATTAGATTACCCAAAGCAATGTGCAACAAGTCTACTATATTTTTGATGGTGTGATACCTTAACTTATTCTTTTCTAACTTTATTATCCCACATCTGATGGCGTTAAGTCTCAATCTATTGATATTTAAAGTTGAGATTAGTACCAGCAGCAGAGAATAGACAATGTGAAGTCCAGTGCAGTAAAGATATTCAATCAACTTAAATTACTTCTCTGACAGCTTAAGTTTTCAAATAAAGAAGTAGTATGCATAAGACCTTTGTCAAATTTGCATGTGTCATTCTTACGTTTGCCGAACGGAGGTTGGTCATGTGTAATGTCTCAGCAAGAATGAATGGGAGTGCACAGGTTCTTGTTGAATCTCTCCTTATCTATATATTGTATGACTTAAATTATAGCTGTAAAATTTCATTAACTGTGTTTTGTCAATGAATTCATCATATGACTTTTACTTTTACATTATTATACGCACTTCATAGTTATTCGTGGCTCCTCATCATCTCCACTACATGACTTCCATCTGACTAATCCTGGGTTGAAATAATACTTTGTCATTTTTAATCTAGACCTAAACACGTTTACTGCAGATCACAGTAGACTCAATAAATGTATACTGGGGGTGGGGGGTGGGTGAGATCGCATCACATGTCCCAGCAAAATAAATCATTCAGTAATTGTTTTTAATTATACTATCAATCCTAAATTATCTCAATGGTGAATAGAGTAAGTCATACTCATTATACGCGATAGTTGATGAAGTAGTTAGAGTGAAGAGTTCGAACACTCCACCCAATTACCAAAAGCCGTATGCTTAAACCGCAGTGAGCCACTTCTCCACTTTATAATTAAGTGTCATACTTTTTGATTCTAAAAATGTAAAGACTGTCAATCAGTTTAGTTTTTCTTTTTTTTACTGAATAGGTGATTTCTGAATTGTCAAGTGCGTTGGATGAACGTAAAGAAGATTTAACAAATTCTATAACATTTGGTGAACGTTTACGTCGTGCCTTACGCTTATATGCTAGTGGTGATTGGTTTTCAACTATATCTGGTCATTTAGATCCAGAGACAAATCGATTATTTAGTCAGTTAAAGAGACGTGCACGTTTGGCTGAAGCGGGACTGTACGATTTAGAGGAACAGATTGAAAATTTAGCCTCAGAAGTGGAATCTATTCAGTTAAAAAATAAAAATACTAATAATACACCTATTAAACAGGGGAAAGAAAAAGCCTCCTTAAGAAATAGGTAACTGTTGTTTTTGTCTTATTTCTCATTTTCGTTTGCTTTTTTTTTATCGTAAATCTTCTGATTTTATTATTTGCTAAGTTAGTAAAGATCTGATTGGTGTGAAGGTGGAATTCGCTATGAACGGACATCAGCTGGAGCCCTTTTGAAGCTGTTCACTAATGCAGACTCACCACGGTCAAGTTTTAATGTGAACACTTTACTGCTGAGTCAGTCAGTTATACTATTTCATAATCGATTATCCTGGTATACAAGAAGGGAGGCAAGTCTTTCTGTGATAATCACACGGGGGTTAGCTTGACTAATATGGGATCTAAAGTTCTATGTTCATTTATCATGCGTAGATTAAGTGGTGCTCGGGAGAAAATCAGGCAGGCTTTAAACCAGGAAGAAGGTGTATTGATCATATCTTTACTTCTCGACAGATTCTGGAACATAGGGAACAATCGTCATATTTCTTGACATCAAAGTGGCATTCAACTCCGTCGACTGAGAGGTACTCTGGCGATGTTTCGTTGTGAAGGGAATGCCGAGAAAATACAAGACACTCTACTCGAACTCATGCAACCAGGTAAGAGTCTACGGAAAGTTGTCATCTAAAGTGATGACGACAACCACTGGTGTTCGTTATGGATGCCGACAGTCCCCATTTTTGTTTAATTTCACCACAAATGTTGACATAGTGGACTTAACCCTAACTGACTTCAGCGACTCAGGGATTGACTTGTTACCATCAAGGCATAATCTCGTTGACTTTGAATATGCGGATGATATGATCCTTCTAGGTAAAGATGCTGAACAAATGCAGAGTCTTCTCAACACCTTGAGCTGAGCAGCAGTCTTCGAATATTTAGCATGCGATTGGCTCCTGTTAAATGTAAGGTGATGCTACAGGGCTGGATTACATTGACTCCTAGCTTAAAGATAGGGAGGTAGTAGAGCGGTAGAGCTCATTGACCACTTCACTTATGTGGGTAGTTGTATCAGCCCCAGTGGGTTGAAGTTCTTTTGTCTGTTTATGACTTTAGATTCTTTCGTGAATCAGTCAGACAGCAGAATACTGGATTCCTCGGTTTGTATTAAAGTGTTCAATTTCAAGTTGTTCAGAATGTGGACAACGTGACCAATGGAAGTATATCTTGTCTTTCAAAGTTACTTGCTTTTACTCTCAGACGCTTAAAATTTATATATGCAATATATCTATCTGTTGTGTTCATTTTTTTCTACAGTGTTGGAGGCAATCCCACTATAATGCGTGCATTAGATACAAATGCCAATCTTATTCGTGCTGAACGTAATCGAATAGATTACATTATGGAGAGCTTAAAAAGACTGGGTTTAAGTCCAGTGAAATGTGAATCTACGAATGATACACAGTGCGGTAAACAGTCAAAGTCTTTAAATCGCTCGAATATATCATTTTCAAAGGATGATGACTATAACAGTACTATTAATAATACTATTAGTAATAATAATAATAATCCATCTCAACATATGATACATGAACGTGATCAAGCTTTGCTACGCTTATTTTCCAACTATAAGCTACCTGTTATCCGGCCAACTAAAGTCTGTCCATCTATTTCTACAGAGGCAGAGAATTTAAATCTTTCAGACTTTAAAGCTGGTGAATCATTTTCTGAGACACAATCAAGCTCGAATATTCTTCAGAGTAAAGCTACTCCGTGTAAGTCTCACTTTTGTATTATTCTTTGTGCTTGCCCTTCTTTATGATTGTGAGACATGGCAATTGAAAGTTGAAGACATGAAAAGGCTATCTGCCTTTGACCACAGATGTTTAGTTTCTGCTTCCTGTGTTGTAAGTGGTACAATATGCTGAGTAATATTTGTGTTCGCCGTAGAGTGCTAGCAAAGGAAGGGAAGTCAACCAACTTGGTTGTGGAACTGCATCGATTAAGATGGTTAGCACATGTGCATGTAGAGCTATCACTTTTGCTCACAGAGCTATGTTAGCTGATATAGAATTAAGTTGGAAAAGTGTTAGGAGTGATCAAGTCAAAACCTGGTACCAATCGTTGAAGTCTTTGACTGTTGGTTTGAGACAGCCTTGTAGACGGGTGTAGACTATGTGGTTAGGGTCCTCAGGCTGCTAAGGACCAATACCTTGAGAATATTGGTGACATAGTTCATAATCGTTCTAGCGAATGCATTCACTCTCTGTGATCACTAAATCATCATGTTTTCCCATGTTACTATTCATTCTTCCCTCACATTTCTGCTTTTTATAGTTCTGTTGAATCTTTTGTTTTTTCCCCTTTGTGTACCTTTTGTGCTAAATGGAGTGTGGCAACTTGAACTGATGCACTTCTGTGTGAAGTTATGTGTTAAAATTCAGTTGGTGTCAGTCAGTTAGTTTATCTTAAGCTGATGCGTTAGCAGTTGTAGGGAGAGTTGATGTCAGCTTTAATTGTATGATGAATAAGCCTCAGTCATTTAGCTATGGTCTAAAAGTTGACTAAATCTTAATTTTGTTGTCATCTTTATCAAATCATGTTTCACTAGGCATATAGTAAATTCAGGGCATGGACGATGAAACGTAAAAATTAAAAAAATCATTTGTAAGAACCTAATTGCCCGTTGGTATTTCTTTTATCTTATTTCTTTTTTGAAGCACCGGGAAGCCTGAAAAATTCTCGATTAGAAAAATTACTTGTTGTATCTGGAGAACGTGAGTTGTTTGTTTACCTGTCTATGAAAGCTTTAATTTTTTGCATCATAAAAACATAATGTGCTAGTAAATCACAATTTTGAACCCTGCTCCCACCTAGATAGGTTTCGGTAAGTATTGTAAGTAAGTCCTCACACAGTGAATATAACTCAGTGCCAATCATATTAGCAGGGATTTAGTTGTGGAGACGTTTCTCAATGACTTCATCACTCAACTTGCAGTCAGTGAGTCTTTGGATCGAATCACTATCCACTTACTTCAGTTCGGGTAACTTAATAGTATCATTAGCCCTCACGCAAGAAATGTGACCCATTGCCTCGAACACAAAGAACCTGTCTGGAAGAGTTGAGTTTAAACATTCATGCACTGAAGATGTTATCTAGGTAGTTAAACATTAAACGTTTCCTAATAATCCAAGCCATCCAACTCAGGGAATACAACATCACTGAAAATATCCTCTTAACCCATAAATTTTTGTCATCGTTTCAAAATATTACTAACAAATACAGTAATGGAACTCTACTGGTATTCAGTTTCAATATTAAGTAGTTTAATTTAGTTGTGAGTCTTTGGTATTACTGTTGCCATTTTCAGAGTATGCTATACGCCTTAGTTCCACTAACTCAACTTCTTTGTTAATGCATGAATACTGGATGAACAAATTCCAGAAGATTTAAGATGTTATTGAATTCGTAATCGAAGGTGATTGAGTTATTAGTCTTGATAATATTGAGACATCCATTCAAGACACCCATTTATATATATATATATATATATATATATATATATATATATATCAATGGGAAACCACAGATATGAGCAAGTACGTTCATATCATAACCGTCGCTTAAGACGTTGTCCCTAGTTGTTTGAAGCGAGGGGAACTGGATCAAAGTCTCAGTAGAAACACCAGCACGGCGCAAGGACAGCCAGCTTAGAGATCTCAAGTTGGACAAAACAGGTATCCTGGATTAGATCACTAGCTACCATTAAACACGTAGCTGCGAAAATTTCTTACTTTCAAACACTGATATGGAAATATTGAAGTATTTATGTGTTGCTATTTTCATTGAGGAAGACTTATGAATTTCGTATTTTATTCATTTCAGTTGCCACGAACACTGCCGTTTCTGTTGCACCTAGAACTCCTCCAAATGTTAGTGTAAAGAATGTAACTGATGTAAGGAAGTCTACTGGTGCCGCTCCTGCTCATCCACTGACATCTGCAAGTCCTTTGTTTAGCACTCCAACTTCTTCGATCCTCAGTAAACCAAGTGTGTCTTTTGGATTAACAAAAGGTCAAAGCATAGAAAGTCCGTCAACTACTAATATATCGACCATAAAATCATCACCATTGGCAGGTGTAAAAGTATCTGATACAAACGCGCCAACACACCAATCTCTTTCGGATAGTACGAAACCAGTTACTCAGTCCTTGTTTACTCCAACGACTAAAGCACCAAGTAAGTTTTGTTTGAAACAACTTAGCAAATCAGCTTTTCTATTTTCACCAATTAGGTTATGAGCTATCCCTAATATGTGAGACTTCATACATATTACCTGGGATTTAAACTCTATATCCATTAGTTGAAAATCAAGTGCTAAAGCTAACGAACCTTACCTCATTTACAATGATGTATAGTGGATAGAGGCCGTACTCGGTTGATTGGTCCTGATGTCATCATATTCAAATCTACCTGTCAGAAAACATTTAAGTGGCCTACATTAGATGAGCTGCGTTACAGCTACGCACCCGTAGGACAGTCTACACGTTCTGTTTTTGACAGATTTCACTTAATGACTTCAGAGTTAGTCAGGTGATTGTGGCATTTATCCACTACTGTTTCAGTGATGCAATAGGTCTCAGTGATTAGTGTTACATTGCAAAAATATTCCCGTTGTTTGTTGTTAATCTGTATTGTGAAAATTGGTTTTTATCTTTCTATCTCTGTTAGTTTCAACAACGTCGGCAACATCAGTTCCCAATGCCTTCGCATTTACCCCTTCATCCAAATCTGTTGGATTTCCCTCGATAAGTACACCGAGTACAGTGGCCGCATCCTCTACGTCTTCCGTGATGAACAATGCTGGGCAGCCTAGTCCACTATTCCAGCAAGTTCAGTCCAGTACACCCGTCACCAATATAACGAATGTTAACAGTTCAGGAGGATTGGCTGTGTCCGCGAATTCCCTGTTTAGTTCTCAAGGTATTACCATTAAATTGTCCGCTTACAGTTGAAAAACTCTAAGCACAGATTTACTGAATATTTGTGATACCTAATAACTAAGTAAAGATATAGTGGAGGTCTGTGTCATTGGTCTCTGTGATCGATATGCAACTGATGTACCATAGGTTTGAACCCTGCTCCATCTGTGAGGGTCTAGATAGCCTAAGAAGTATCACCAGCCCTCGCACAACAGATGTGGCTCTTTGTCAGTTGTGTAGCAATACAAGTGGTTGTTGAGTAACAGAGGAATTTGTTACCAAGGCTTTCTTACAAACTACCTATTGCGAATAATATAATATTGTTTCTGTCAATTGTGATTCATTTCTCAGAATATTAATGAAAAGTTCAGTCATTGAGAAGTTGTTTATAAATGTAATTTTTGCCTACTCATGAGATCTAGGCAACTGTAATTTATCTTGTGACGCTACAACTCATTAACTTAAGTATAATGGTTGAGTCATGGGATTGAGTCCTACTGCGCCTACTTCAATTTTCTTGAGTGGTATCATCAGCTCTCATACGATAAGTATGGCTCTTAGCCTGATCTGTTCGGATAATTGAGTTCAGAACCAAACACACGTATCTCTGATAAAGCATCAGTGACCAAGTTATTTCATACCCACCTTAATTATTACTTCAAGGCTCAGAGATAGGTGAGGTCGATGCGTGCAACCTAGTTTCTGTTGGTACATAAGGTTTATATTGACGTATATTATTCATAATTAAAAATAGTTAAGTCAGTAATATGTATATAAGGTAAAATTTGCTTTAAATCTTATTAAATTATGACATCTACTGCTTGTAATTTTGACGAAAAGGAAATATCAGTGTACTTCTTAATCTCTGAGAGTTAAGCTTTTCTTTGGAATTCAATTTCACTATCTTCTTTTATCTATTCTTATTAAAGTATTCGTTCGCTTATACACCTGAGTGTAAAGAAATTATTTTCGTAGAGGTGTAATTCATTGACTTGATGACTCGATTTTCAGACAATTGGTCCAGGTTTCGAATCCTTCGTTCTCCTAACAATCAATTTTCTACATACATTATTTTTTTATTTTTTAGTTTGGATTACAGCTTGATTCCACACCGTATTTTTGGTACAAGTATGGAATTTTCAGCATGGATATCGGTAGCCCAAATTTTGCAGGCCGACCATAGATATCAGATGTCAGTCAGCAGCGGATCTAACCTCGGACCATGTGCATGGTTGGCGAGAGTCCTAACCACTGTACCACCGATGCACACTCTTCAATGAGTAATGTTAGCTGCTTTAGAAATACATCGGGAAAAAGAGTAGTTATTATCAAACTTAAACACAATCCCAATCCATGAAGTTACTGCCTGTCGTCTTGAGTCACGTAGAGGTGTAGGTTACTTGCCTGAGGTCCTAGAGACGCCTATAATCAAGGGTTGGAAATTACTATTGATGAAGTTCATAATTCTTTCCAATAGGATAGATAGATACGATCACCATTTTTTTAATCTTTCGGATTTAGTAAATCCTGAATATTCGTTATACAAGTATTCTCTCTGTTGAATATTCTCAATGATTTTAATTCGATTGCATCGCTTCCCTCTAACTTGAAGTATGCTTTTATGAAATGTGACAGCTTGACTTTTGTGCGGACTTCTACTTTTGATAATCCAGTTCAGTTCACACGCCAACATATTTGGCAAGTTGAATATGAAAATCGTGTGTTATAATTCAAAATTCAATAAGAGTTGTTGTCAGTATAATGTTGAGAAAGAAGCGATAAGTATTTAATTGATTTACGAAGGTGTCATGGTGCCATTATTAAATGCTAGTTAGTTCTTGTTTTACTTATTCTAAAATTGATAATTACGAGGATTAATAAATGAGAAAGCATGGGGATTCTTCCCCGTTAAAATTTTATCTTATATGAAGTTGTAACATTCATTAATGTCAATTCTGCTCAATGCTCACTGTCTGTTACGTCCTCTTAGCAGTCACTTCAAAGTCGAATACCACCACTCCAACAAGTCAGACAGTAAACGAAATAAATAAAACCCAACCTAATGTAGTTCCGGTAATTCCTGGATGCCATGTATCTTCTCCACCTTCGGTTTCTTCTTCTACTTCCGCTTCAACTCCTGGACTGTTTTCATTTTTACCAACTTCGGTTTCTAATACTGGTGTATTATTTGGATCGGGACAAAATCAGAGTTCCACAACATCTACAACAACAACAACAACAACTTCCCTTTTCTCCAGTGTACCATTGACGAGTACAACAAGTCCTGCTTCTAGTGGTCAAACGCAATCATCGACCTCGACTACTTCTAAACCACCTACTCAATCAATTTTCGGTTCATCACTATTTGGTTCAGGTAATTTTAAATCTTTGTACGTTGGATGTTATGCAGAAATGTATGACTAGTATTGGTTATTCGTTAACATCTCGCATTTATGTATGCTTTATTTTCTGTCTTCTTTGTATTTAGCACCTGTCACTGGGTCGAATACATTCCTATTCGGTACTCCATCTCAAAATACTGCATCACCTGCTAGCACATCTGTGGGTACTGTTTCTTCAACACCTAATGTCAGCACCATGGGAATTTCGACTTCGAAAAATGAGGTTTCTGCTGGAACAGCTACATCTGCTCCTACTTCCATATCGTCGTTATTTGGCGCTACAGGTAAATGAATCAGTTGTGTGGTGTAAATTCCAACTTTCAGTTGCATTTTATTCCAGTAATAAAACAAACCAACAATAATTTCGTCTTATTTTCCTCTTTTTATCTTTTGGAAAAGGTGGCAGTACTCTAAACACTAGTGGTGGACTATTTTCTGCTAATACATCTTCCCTTCCCCAAAATTCAACGTCTTCTACTCAACCTTGTACAACTGGTCTTTTCAGTTTTACAAATGCAACGATTTCAACAAGTGCTACAGCTGCCGTCACTACTACTTCAGTAACATCGAGTGTTTCTAGCCCTTTCGGATCGTCTCTTTTCGGAAAGTCACCTGAACAGCCTAAATCACTGTTCTCAACGCCGATGTCAGCAATAACCACAGCTACTGCTGCTAGTACAACAACTACTACAACTGCCACTAATGCATCTGGTTTGTTTGGTTCACTGCCGAATGCATCGACCGGTGTTAAACTATTCGGAACACTGCCGACAACACAACCTGGGGGTCTTTTATTTGGTTCGGCCTCGAATCAAGCGTCAGGTCCTAAACTTTTTGAAACTACTACGCCTACTACTAATACGAGTTCTAATCCTGTCTCCTCTCCCACCTCATCATCTACATTATTTGGTGGTATTTTTGGCTCCCCATCGGTTACTTCATCTATGAATAATGCTAACACTACCGTCACTACTGCATCCGGTTTGTTTCAAGGCATTGGTTCATGTGAGTTGTATTCAAAGGAAGGTTTTATTTTTTTAAGGAACTGTACCGGTGACGTAGTTGAGCTTATGCTAGAACAGTACTTTCGTAACCAGATAATTAAAATTATTATCGTTAAATATTTATTCGTTTTTAAGAGTTGATCACGGATTGATATCAGTTAGAGAATCTGATATGTATCCACATATGTTCCAGATAAACCCCCAGGAAAACATCCTACTAATCATCAATCTTATCAAAAGGGGAGGTGATATGTATCCATATATATATATATATATATGTATGGTGGTCTCTTTCTATTGCTGGCTTAGTCTGTGACCATTTCACTTTGATGAACCTGTCTCCTTTAACAATGTATATTCCCCTTATATTATATATGATATGAGTGTTTGTTGACAGTCCGTTGCTTGGTGACATGTATCCATATAAATTGTGTGTTTGTTGACTTGTCTGCTATATTTTGCTATGTATATATGGATCGACACTACATTATAATTAGCCATTCATGTTAAGACTGTCTATTGATTTGTTCACACACTTGTCTGGACGGTCATATATATTTCGCTCTCACAATCTTGTGACACTTACTTACTTTGGTGTGATACCACTGATTGCTTCTCCTTGTGTTTGGAAAATAGAAGTATCATCGCAAACCTAGTGGTCTTCTAATTTCCGCCTTCTTGCGTCAGGACTATTAAATTCTCGACCAGTACATAATAATAATTTAGCAACGAGTACATAACAGAATCATTGAAAACCAGGTAGTACTGGACAGCTGTTTCATCCTAGTTTGGGAATCTTTGGCAGTACTCCCTTGTATTCAGTGGTTCTCTAACTGATATCAATCCGTGATTAACGAGTAAAAACAAATCTAACCCTTATAAACCAACTCGTGAAAATATTTATTCGTTTTTCTTGTTTGTTTTCTTCATTGTTTAGCACCAACAAAAAGTTCTGGTCTGTTTCAGTTTTCTTCAGGAAACAGTCTTTTTGGTTCTACAACAGCTAACAATGCAACTTCACCTCCTAGTACTGGTCTTTTCGGTGCGATTAATACGCAACAACCAGCCACATCGAATCCACCTGGTGCTGGTTTATTCGGTAATTGTCTTTTCATTTTGTTATTGTGGATTTTGTTATTTTATTTCTTTATGTTTCAAGTGGTATATTCGGCCTAAAACGTGAGCTCTGAGGCTTCAGTATCATGGTGTTTACTTTTGCTGGCTTCATCATACCCAGACTTCCTTCTTTTTCGGGCATACTTACGACTAAGTGAGGTGTAGAAGTACACCAAATGGGGGTTGAAACCCAGGCCACATGCGCGGTCGGCAAGTGTTCTACCTCTGAACCCTTGCGGAATTTATTGTAACTGTTACTTTTCCTGTATTTCATCCACATCACTTTGTATATTTGATAAGAATATTAAGCGTATGCATGAGATTTTGGGTATCATATCGTTAAAAAATAAGGAAATTGTGTAAAACTAAGGTTAACACTTATCCAATTGATATTTAGATTTCATGAATAGGTTGTATGCTTTCAAAATAATGTTACTTCATTTAATCTTTCTTTATCCTGAATCCTCTGATCTAGAATATCATGGAACACCCAGTCAATCTGGGGTGTTTATTCTTGTGTTTGAATAACTTGCGACCACCTCTGTAAGGACGCCTGTAATGGATAACTTATAACTCCCTAACGTCTGCTACGTTTATTTAGCTTCTATCACAGCGAAAGGATGGGAAAGGGAATACACGCTTTGCTAGGTAGTCGAATCTGTTACCTCTGGCAAGTTCAATGCGGTGGTTGTGTAACCTATTGAAGACTACATTCTGTTGTTCTAAAATTTTAGTTGGCTTTCACATCACTTCAAGGCCTGACATCTTGGGCAATTTAATGTCATAGACGGAGGAGGTTGCAGTCACCTGTGATCAGTATGAATTTTCAGTTTTTTTTAGTTCTAACCCATGGCGTTTTTTTAGTGGTCTTCACTGCTGATTCTTATATTGACAGCACTTTGGAAGGTGTCTCTTGAGGAAGTGTAGACTGTTTAGTTGAGGTCCTTAAGTTTTTGAGAATCAGTGGTTAGGGAATTTTCGCTTAAAACGTATTTATTGTGTGTAGTTTCTGAGATTTAGGAGATGTCCACAAATTTTTGTTTATTAGTTCTCTGTCATGTACATCTTCGTCTATTGTATTTCCACTGCACTGTTCTCTGCTTTCCTGTGGTACTTTGAATTGACTCAATTTTGTGAAATCAGTGTTTCAGTGATCTGCTTTATTATTTTGTTTAAACTACTTAACCAGTCAACAATTGAAGTAGGATATTTCCTTCACTTCATTTGTTACTATTCACAAGATAAATAATTTAACAGGATTGTTGTATGACCTGATGTTAGACTTATTATTATAATTGTTCCCTTGGGTTTCGAGTGGACCATAGCACTCCTCTACGGTCTTCTTCAGCTTGCCCTACGAATGGCCATAGTCATTCATCTCCTCCTTGCACGATCTCCTCCATGTCACCCTTGGACCTCTCACTCATCCTTTCCCATTCGGGTTCCAATCGAGCAATGGCCTGGCGCGTGACAGCTTCCTCAGTATTCCGTCCAATCCGTCTCCATTTTCTTCCTGTGCTTGTTGAGCAATAGGTTCTTGTTTGGTTAGTTTCCAGTGTTCCTCGTTGCTAATCCTTTCTGACTATCTGATCTTCATTATAGAATCAGAGGAGGCAGCTGTTGATAAAAGTCTGCTACAGCTTGTTCGGAATGCTTTTCGTGACGTGCCAAGTTTCCTACCCATACAGAAGATCTGACTCAACATTGATAATGTTATATTTAGTGTAATCTATTACATCTACATGATCCTACAACTTCCAGTATTCAGTTTTTTCTTGGTTCAATTACTTCTTGTTCTTTCATTCTGTTCCTACCAGCTGATTTCAGGAGTTAACTTTGTTGTTTCAGGGTTTAGGAAATGAGTTGAATTCGATGTATTAAATCCCTCCACTATTTGTAATTCCATGTAGGTGGTCATTATATTTCTTGACCTAAAGGCAGCATTCGACTCTGTCGATCGGGAAGTTCTCTGGAGATGCTTGGCTGTCAAGGGAATCCCGAGAAAATATATTGCACTGATTAAGGCACTCTATTCGTACTCATACAGCCAGGTGAGGGCTTACGGCGAGCTGTCATCTGAACTGATGACGACCAGTGGTGTCCGTCAAGGATGCCCATTATCTCCTTTTCTATTCAACTTCATCATAGATGTGTTAATGGACTTAACCCTAGGTGACTTCAGCGATTCAGGGATTGACTTGCTACCTGGGAATAATCTCGTTGACTTGGAATATGCAGACGATATAGTCCTTCTAGGCGAAGACGCTGACAAAATGCAGAGTCTTCTAAACACCTTGAACAGCAATCTACGAATGTTTGGCATGCGATTCGCTCCCGCCAAATGCAAGATGATGTTACAGGACTGGACTACATCGACGCCTAGTTTAAAAATAGGAAGTGAAGTGGTAGAGCACGTTGACCGCTTCACTTATTTGGGAAGTACCATCAGCCCCAACGGGCTGATCTCTGACGAAATCTCAGCACGAATACAAGGGGCTCGTTTCGCATTTGTTAGTTTACGCCGACTCTGGCGTAGACGAGATGTTCGACTATCGACCAAAGGGCGGGTGTACTGCTCATCAGTCCGCTCCGTCCTCCTTTATGGTTGTGAGACCTGGCCACTGAGAGTGGAAGACATGAAAAGACTAGCTGTCTTTGATCATAGGTGCCTGCGTTCTATTTCCCGTGTAAAGTGGCATAATAAGGTGAGCAACATTGAGGTTAGGCGTAGAGTTCTAGGTAAACAGGGGAAATCAATCGACGAAGTCGTAAAGCTACATCGACTGAGATGGTTAGGACATGTGTTACGTATGCCAAGTCATCGCCTCCCTCGACGAGCAATGTTAGCGGATATAGGGTCAGACTGGAAAAAAGCTAGCGGCGGTCAAACAAAAACTTGGCATCAGTCAATGAAATCCACAACAGTTGGTCTTAGCCACGTAGGAAGGTGTAGACTTCCAGGCTGGGGTCCTCGGGACGGTAAAAATCTATGGTTGGAAACAATTGGTGACATGGCTCAAAATCGTTCTCAGTGGCGCAGATGCATCCACTCCCTGTGACTTATGATCTTCAATGAAATTGTTTTGTATTTCTTTATTACCCCTTTGTCTCACACCTCTGCTCACTGTTTCTATTATGCTTTTCTTGTACTTTCTTCTCTTGCTTCGCGTGCTACACGGAATGTGGCGACTTGAACTTCCGCACATTTGTGCAAAGTTCTATGTCGAAAACAGACAGACAGACAGAAACTGACGGATAGGACTGAATGGTTAAAAACAATAAGCATTAGAGAAAATTTGGAGCAGTGTGTTAGATGGGTTTTTAGTTAGCCTATTGATTCAGAGAGACCACCACCAGAAATTGAAATGTCCTGACTTGTACTTCTTTATGTTTTAGTTTCTCATTTCGTCTGTTTGTTACTATGTATGTTTGTTTGTGTGTATTAAAACCTTCTGCGACTCACAACTTTTTCTTTGACAGTTATTTTATATTTTATACCATTACTATATATTTACAAAGTTTCCTTTTTTTCTATCGTCATCATCATCATTCAGGATCACCGACTGGAACACCTGCGAAACCTACTGATGGGCAAGTTACTTTTTTAATCACATATTTCTATGTCTTTTGCTTAATCTCGTCAGTCACTTGTCTATTCATGCGTCAGGCTAACTGACTGATTGATTGAGGCTACATTCTATTGATTGGTTGACATGAGTAGTTGGGGACCAGTGACATCAACCAGTGGTGCTTGTTAACCAGATCGAAGTAATCTAAATACGAAACCGTCGTTTTTCTCGTTTGAGGCTGGTGTAATTGATGGGGTTCAACCCAGAGGGCCTAATCAGTTCAAACCATCGGAATTCTGATTAGCCACTTCAGCGAAGTGGTAACGCGAAGACTTACAAGCGAAAACCGACAAACTGGTCGAAGAAGCAGCCGTCGAAAACAGGACTCCAAGTGAACATAGACAAGACGGAGGTTATGAAAATAACCAACCAACACCAACAACAGCAGCAACAACATACAGCGCCAGTCACCATCAACGGGAGGGATTTGAAAGAGGTCACTTCATTCACTTATCTGGGGACCATTGTCTCAATTACAGGAGGAACGGACAAGGATGTCAAATCGAGTGAGAATCGGGAAGGCGAGCGAGAAACACATTCATCAACCTGAAATCAATTTGGAAATCTTCGTCATTCAGCATCAACAACAAAATTCGGTCGGATCTTCAATACAAACATCAAGTCAGTCAGTTCTTCTATACGGATGAGAAACTTGGCGGGTGGGTCACAAAGAATATTTCCAATAGCCTGTTGCAGACCTTTATCAACCAACAACTATCTTCGCTCTATACTGAAGATCGGATGGCCGGGCCGGAAAGAATCACCAACAAGAAACTATGGGAAGAAACAAAACAAGAACCAATCGCCCAACAAATATGCAGGAGAAAGTGGAGATGGACCGGACACTCGCTGAAGAGGCCACTGGGTGACACTGCGCGTCAGGCCTTGAGTGGAACCCGAAAGGGAAGCGGCGAGTGGGACGTCAGTGCAAGGGTGACATGGAGGAGATCATGTGAAGAGGAGTTGAAAGAGTATGGACTAACATGGATGCAGGTGAAGAGTAAGGCAGAAGACAGAAGCAAGTGGAGACGTGAAGTTGAAGCCCTATGTTCCACTAGGAACCAAAGGGAACAATAATATAATAATAATTTGCAGTTTACACAGTTCGAGGTGAAATTTTACTAGTTTCTTTTGGAAACGGAAATTATTCAGATTACAATATTTTATCTGCTTTTGATACCATAAATAGTAATCAAGAAGCAAGCATGGACGCATGACGTTAGGTCACTTCGATCTATCTAACAAAAGCACTACTCGTTGATCTGACCAGTCCCCAACTACTCCTCCCAGTTAATCAAATAGTATTGTAATGTGAATTGTTTCTGTTTCCATAGAAAACTTTAGTGAAATTTAACATTGAAATGTTTAAATTGCAAGTTGCGAATTAACAGTGTGGAATTGTGCAGGGAAGTGTATTCATTCAAGGGACTGGGATTTAGAGAAGCACGTATCAGACTACCGAAGATGGGGTGTGATGAAACTACAATGGAATGATGACAACATTGATTAGATGATCAGTAAGGCTTTTTGGGATACCGAAGGTGTTAAGATGTATATATATACGCAATATTTTGAGCAGTACTACATAGTCTTTCACCAAGCCATAGACTACACTTATGTGTTGCTGATTTGTTACACTTTGTTTTTCCAAATCCTGATGAGTAGAAATGTTGTGAAACCATTAACATATCGCTTGAGAGTTTATTAGTTGGCTGAATAAAATAAATCTATGTACTTTTCAGTTTGTAGTTATTGAACAGGTCTTTAGACTGTATTTTGGATGCGAAACTGTCTGTGATAACCTTAGTTTGGAAGGTTAATGTTACTAATGATGTAATGGGTGATGACTGAAAGCGATTTGAAAATCACGATTCGCTGTAGGATTCGAGCCAGTCCGTTACCGTGTTCTGGTCAAGGTACGATACCCAACTGCTAACGATGTGAATACTTCATTGCGGTCATCACGAATAATCCGTAGCTATTATGTAAATAAATGATACACAACCTTAAGGGGTCATCCGCACCATATGAAACATATTAAACTTTTTCAGCCAGGCATTCCAATGTATCAGTCTTAGAAATGTGGTACTCTGTGATAATTCTTTCCACTTTTAATCTGGATATATGTTTAGTTAACCAAATAGCTCTTATTATTCATCAGTAGTCAGTTGGGATTCTACTTCATTAACCGACGTTTGAATCACATGATAGTAGTACTATTCGATTTTTGATGCATATAGTTGCCGCTGATTACTTATTGCATATGAGATTACTCAATTTCAAGGATTCACTGTCTACTCATCTTGGCTTGTGTAGCTGTAGCTCGTCGTCCAATAGCTGCGTCATACTCCGATGACCGCCTCATATACGAAGGTTTGGACAGCCGGATAGGTATCACTAGCCCTGACATAATAGGTGTATAGCTCTGAACTGTACTATAAGCTTGTATCATTTACCGATTGTGTGAAATTCTGTGTAAGTTACTGTTTTTATTTTGATTGTTTGTTTTATTTTACAGGTTATTTTCAATGAATAGTTTAAATCTTGGTGGTAATTCTGCACCCCAAAATCCTACACAAAATATTTTTGGTAAAGCTTTTGGGGGTCAAGGTTAGTGATTCATTCACTTGTTTATGATGATTTTGATGGTGATTGGAAATAATGTTTATAAAGTTTGATGATAGTGGTTTCATATTTGTAATGAGTTATTCTAAGTACCTTTCTGTCACCGTTGAACCCTTTTTTTCCATAATTGTTTCATTCCTTGCTCTCCGAGTTGAATATAGAGCAACTTCAAGCTTTAGCTTAAAACTTTCAGTGGCAGTGGTGTTTCTTGTTATAGGATACAGTTGATAACCTTATGCACCCATCCTTCCCTCTTTTACCGGTATTCCTACCGGCTGAGTGACGTTTATAAGTGAGATAGCCGGGAATCGAATTCTAGATCACTTTTGTGGGTTGGCCAATATTCTACCATTGAACCACCGATGCAAATGGCGGTTTCAAACGGTGTGAATCATCCCAATGGAAATGCGATGTAGATAGTCTTATTCTTTCTCCTCTACTATGAAGTGACTTTGATGATGCAGATACTAAACTGAACTGAGCTGAATTTTCAATACAGAACTTTATACTAAAGTGTAGCAGGTCATATTTCCACACTTCATAAAAGGCGACGTGAAGGTGGCGAAGAGAAGATGCAATGAGAGGCTAAAATAAACGGAAGTGTGCCATAGGAAGAATAGTGAAGATTCAGTAAATCTAAAGTGTCAGTGCATCTTCTCCATTGAGAACGATTCTGAGTCTCATCACCAACAACAACATACAGCCATTAATCCTTACTGTCTCGACGAGACTGGTTAGACAGTCTATATCTTCTTTTGTTCCCCAAATAAGCAGGGGTTTGATACGATGTTTTAGTTTGACCACATTTACGTCTTTTATTTGCTGTAAATCTGTTATCTGATGATTGCTACTTTTCTACTTGCACCATTTCAAACACTGATAGAAAACTCGAATAGGCATTTAGAGGGTTAATAAATGTATCTAGTCTGGCTGTTTGTCATCCAACAACCAATTGCACATCCGTATAGTCGGTAATGAGCCACACCTTTTGTGTGAAGGTTATCCATACGGCGATAGGTGGAGTGAGGCTTGGACTTGTGATCCAGTAGTTGTAAGTCAATCGCCTAGACCTTATAGGTCACAAAATCATGCTGTTTGACTTCGTTGAGAATGGGGAATCAGTTCAGTTCGAGGTGAATGATTTTCAACTACTTAAATCTATCAGTAATTTCAACCATCATGAAGTAGCAATGATGTACTTACTGTGGGTTTTGGCTGCTGTTTCTATGCTTATTACTGTTTCATATAATTTCTAGATCTTCACCGTCTGTCTTTATTGAAGGGCGTTTACTTAAACCGGTAGAAATCGTACAGAATTTATTTTGTTTCTGTGAGAACGATTCTGCTTTGTATGTTAATTATTTATCGACAGAGTTGTATATGAGTTTGAGTAATACGTTGCTTTGGCATTGAATATTTTGGCTTTTAATATTTACACTCAAAGCCTTTTTACTTTGCCGTACTACTGTACTGACGGGTACGTCGGTAGTTCGGTGCTTGGAAGCCTTTCAACCACGCCTCACTTGGCCCATGGTTCGATTCCTGTCTGATACACTCAGGTAGAGAAGGTAGGTTGGGCATGAGGCTAGCAACACTGTCTCATAAAGGAAACAATACCACAGCTACTTAAACTCAATGCTTGAAGCCCCATGTTAAACTCGGGATGCAAACGAATAGTAGAAACTGTTTTGACGGAGATAAAATGATAATTTTAGTTCACCCAATAATCCCTTGTCTTTTTCTGCGTGTTTCCTTTTTAATTCAAATCTTATCAGATAAATGCATCTAAATGAGTTTTGTTTATATACATTTTTGATGTTACAGCTAACTCTAGTTCTGGTCTGTTTGGCTCGCTTAATCCAACTTCTCAAACAAATGTAAATACTACACCAACTGCGTCATCTGTTGCTCAACCAGGCCTGTTTAGTAATGCTTTATTTGGTTCTTCAGTATTCGGTTCTCCTGTTTTTGCTAATGCAGTCTCTACTACTAGTAGTACTGTTAGCAGCGGTGGTGGTGGTGGTCTGTTTAGTGGATTGAGTTCAAATGTTAATTCAGGTACAGGCCTGTTTGGTAGTCGAACATCTCCTCCTGCTGCTAATACTGCTGGCGGCTTTGGAAGTCCACCAGTATTTGGTAGCAGTCCTACATTCGGTGGATTAGGTAATACAAATCCTTCTGGACAAGGATTGTTTGGCATGAGTGGAACTGCAGCGTTTAATACAGGTACTGGTGGATTGTTTGGTGCACCTATGCCGCCTGCTGGTGGTGGTTCTCTATTCGGTGGAAACACTAATCCACCGACTGGTGGCGGTGGGTTATTCGCTTCGTAAGTATACCATGATGAATTGTTTTGTTCTTCTAGTGTCTGTATCTGTATTATTGTCTTAAAAATAATCTATCGAAGACTCATTATACACTTCAACGTCATTTTAAAGTGGAATTGTAGCTTATTAACTTAAATGGGTTGGCTTCTAGCTGTACACCGTCATAAGTTCCAATGCATTCTGTCCCACCCAGATTTGATCTCTGAAGAAATCTCAGCACGAATACAGAGGGCTCGTTTCCCATATGTCAGTTTACGCTGTCTCTGGCGTAGACGAGATATCCGACTATCGACCAAAGGGCGGATGTATAGCTCATCAGTTCGCTCCGTCCTCCTTTATGGCTGTGGAAGACATGAAAGGATTAGCTGTCTTTGATCATAGGTGCCTGCGTTCTATCTCCCGTGTGAAATGGTATAATAAGGTGAGCAATATTGAGGTTAGGCGTCGAGTTCTAGGTAAACAGGGGAAGTCAATCGACGAAGTTGTAAAGTTAAATAGACTGAGATGGTTAGGATATGTGTTACATATGCCTAGTCGTCGCCTTCCTCGACCAACAGGCAATGCTGGCTGACATAGGATTGGTCAGGCTGGAAAAGAGCTAGCGGAGGTCAAACAAAAACATGGCTGCACCAGTCAATGAAATCCACAACAGTTAGTCTTAGCCACGTAGGGACGTGTAGACTTCCTGACGGGTTGGGGTCCTCGGGACGGTAAAAACCAATGGTTGTAAACAATCGGTGACATGGCTGAAAATCGTTCTCAGTGGCTCAGATGCATCCTTTCCTTGTGACTTATGATTTCCAATGAGACTGTTTTTGTTCTTCGTTACTACTATTTCCTTTGTCTCACACCTCTGTTTACTGTCTCTATTATGGATTTCTTGTACTTTCTTCTGTTGCTTTGTGTGCTACAAGGAGAGAGTATGGCGACTTGAACTGGTGCACATATTTGCAAAGTTCTATGTCGAAAATAGACAGACAGACAGATTTGAACAGACATGTAGTAGTACCACATCCTTACTCCATAGGTGTGGTTCACTGTCACCTGCATACACATAGAAGTTGTACATGTTTAGTATTTCTGTTTGTTTCCTTTTTTTGTAAACAATATCATTTTCAGCATTAGTGAAATTCACTCTTCATATGCATTGTTACAAATGAATAAACAAAACGGAAAAGAATTATTAACGTACAAGTAAAATTGAAAAATGAATGTTTTTAATTGATTTTATGATGCCTATTATACTATTTTAAAAGACTGATTTTAGTGAACAAAGCATATCCTTTTCAATAACTCTATCTTCATTAGCTTCTACAGTTATACATCCGTAATGATTTAAGGAATATTGTTACCTAATAATACTTATGTTTTAAATAATATTGATTCAATAAGAACAGTAGATTACAGTTCAAAAGCAATTGTAAGTGAATATATATATATATATATATATATATATATATATATATATATATATATATATATATATATATCAAACATTCTTCCGTGTGGGCTTTATGGGCTGTTTGAACCACATGATCTATAGTAATAATAATAATGTATTCTCATTTTGTGTACATAAGGGACGCAAGTTTACAGCCATTATCGATATGATAAATAATATATACATGAAGTAAGCATATTTGCAATTATTCACTTACTCAGGATATATATACAAGAAGAGGCAATGGATTAATGTCAGTAAGCTCACTTTACATGGGTTAAAACAATTTACATGATATAATCCTAAGCAACATTATTGTTTGAATTTGGCGGAAATGCGCGTAACAACTGAAGGCTGCGTTACATGTGATAGATACGGTAGATTGCTCACAAAATTATAAAAATGGCTTGTAAAACGTTAGTTAGTTTACCAACAATCTGATAATGTACTGTTGATGGGTTTTACTACAGCCTTTTTGTAGTCACAGTAATAGGTGTTCTGTGCACGAAAGCTCCTGGAGCAATGACTAGTGTAACTGGCTCCACAGGAGCAGTTGACTTGATAGATACAGGTAGAAGTGGCTGGCTTACCTGTGTACTTTGTCTTTCAGTTGAAGAATCATAATCGGTCGTATGGAAAATGTGAACTGCAGCTTACCGGCATTAAAAGTTCCTTGAATCGATTTTCTTAACTTGTCGGTTATTTATTCCACCTGGTACATCACCTATGAGTTCCAGTCTCATGTACAGCTACTACTTGTTTACAAATATAGATCCGTTCGTTTCGATTGTCTTGGTCGCGTGTTTCATGTGATAGACTGTTATAAATAGTGAAATAATAACCAACAAGTTAAAGAGATTGTGTTTTTAGTGTAATGTTTGCTAACGGTTTTAGATGAAATTGTGTGGTTTTCCGTGAAATTTTTGGTATTATTAGTTATTAGATATTTAGTTAATAGTCCATCAAGCCACATGTTTTGGTTAGATTAGTGTTTTGCATGAACTCACAAAATCCTTGACTATTTACTTAACTTTCGTATATATGTGAAAATCAAATCATACTTATTGCATGTGAGGTAGCTCCCGTTGGTGAATAACTTGTGGATAGTGCTTTGACATATGCAGCCATGGGTTCTGAGTCCAAGTCGTATTGGGAACACTATCCATCTTAGGGGAGTAGATATATCCACCCGATGAGTCCACTGCCAGAGCAAGTAAACCAATATCATTGCTTAGATCATTTCCATCAGTAGTTCGATTGTTGAATGTACACTTGAATTGCATTTGCTTTTCATGCCTTATTGTTCAACTTTCTCTTGTAGGTTGGGAAATAAAACGGATAATCTAAGTTTCGGTTCACTTGCACAAGTATCACCACCCAGTGGAAATATGCCTAATTCACCATTCGGTATGTTATTTATATGTTGATATTTGTGGTAATCTGTCTTTGAAATTGTCTATTCCTTTTGTGCAGGCTAAGTTGGCGTATTAAAGACATAGATGTTGGATGCTTCCATATTATCTGTTTATTGGGAATAGATACTTGGTAATGTTAAGGTGACCAAATGCATGAATGAAATAAGTGAAAGGATAAACTAACAATGGTAAATACCAACCAGTCTTCCGGCAATTTTAATTCAAAAGGGGAATTTTTAGCAAACTTATAACACAACGTCTAAGATGAAGGCTTTTAAGAAACTTAGAAATCTACAGACTAGGACTAAGCCGCTACGATAAAACTTGAAATCGATCAAATCTGACACCATTAACGTTTGTCCTCTCAATATCTCGATGTAGATTTTGTCATCAATTGACTTCCTTTAGAGATTCAGTGAACATCAAGATGCACTGGACAGCTGTTTTATCCCATTCTTGAACTCTTCAGTAGTCTATTGCTGTAGAAATTACAATAAACAATTACTTGGAATGTATTCAGTTTAGTTATGCTTCATTATTAACTAATATTTCGTTTTGTTTTAATTTTGTTTGTTTTTTTACCCTGACTTTCCAGGTATTAGTCCATCGTTTACTCAAAGGCGTGCCTAAAAAACACAGTCAATCATCTCGTCTTATTCTATGTGTATTATCATTCATATGATTATTACGACTACTACTATTTGTTTTAAACAAGGACACTCATACATTGATGCCATTATATATATATATATATATATATATATATATATATATATATATTATTCTGTGTAAAATAATGTCTCCTGTTTATGTACATTTTATGTATCAGAAAATAAATAAACAAGTAAATCTCACTAGAGTACAGAAATGATATTGTTCTCTCTTGGTTTTCCATCTGTGTGAATACGTATATGTGTGTGAATGTATGTGGTATACAAATGAAATCTACATGTGTTCTATTTGAAATTTTATTGTTTTGACATATATATATATATATATATATATATATATATATATATATATATATATATATATATATATATATATATATATCACGGAAAATACCCATTGAGTCATGAAGAAAATAAAAGACAGATTCAGCGAAGAAAATTTTCTTTATCGACTTTTCTTTATCATCTTCAGAGGCTGTACAGTCGTATTTATATTTACCAAAAATGTATAGCGGTCTATTATTGCGTAATAGGGGGTGACATAATTGATATAATTAATCATAAGTGGCTTTAGAAGTGAAAAGAATTAAAAGTTGTAAATTACATGGTACTCAACGGAACAAAGATAGAAGTTTGATAAGGCTAAAATTGCTCTTGAGTGAGAATAAAGGTATTTGAGTGTCGACTTAACAAGTGTGAAGAGGGTGTGAAAATATACAAAAGGAGCGTATGAGAGTGATAATAGTGAATAAATTATTAAAGCAGAAGCAAACTAAAAGTAAAATTAAAAACAAAAGAAAAAAATCAAATTTTTTTTTACAGGGAACGATTAGTGAAGAGGTTAAGACTAAGGTAGAATAAGAGACTAGACAAACCTTTTCTGTATACAAAGTTCAGGGTTGTTTTGATGAATTGCCAGCACCTCCGGCATTCACAAAAGCCGAAACCTGACGCCCTTTGTACCATTTGGCTTCACTTTGTAGATGATGTTGAAAGACGGCTCTGGTGGAGCTACGTGGCCTGAGTTCACCAAATGCTCGAGAATTGAGCTAGTAATTGTCTTGCATTGTCCCTTTGCTAACCATGCCGGATAGTGTTCAGAGATGCATTTGGAAAACTTGCACTTTGTGTGGCCAATATAACTACCTCCACATATTGAGGTGGCCCAAATCGGCAGTTTATCCTTCACACATCCGTTGATCATTTGTCGGCTGTAGAAATTGATATGTAGCTCAGCCATAAATAAGGCTTTCCTCAGTGATCTGCATAAGCGATTCTTCAGGATCTCAGCTGCAGTATCATTTTTAAATTCAACACTCATAAAGAGCAGTTTCTTCGGCACTGTCTGGATTCTTTCAGGCTTTTCTCTTAACTTCATGTTTTTCTCGATAAATCTTGGAGGATATCCATTCTCTATGAGAATTTGTCTGAGTCGCTCCAGTTCCACATCGATTGTATCACTTGAACATATCCTCCTTATTCTCGAGGATAAGGATTGGATCAGATTTCTCTTTCTTCTCAAAAGGACCCAGCTATGGAAATTTGCGTACTGACCATTCCATGTTGGTTTCCTGTAATTTTTCTAAGTATGAATACGACTGTACAGCCTCTGAAGATGATAAAGAAAAGTCGATAAAGAAAATTTTCTTCGCTGAATCTGTCTTTTATTTTCTTCATGACTCAATGGGTATTTTCCGTGATATATATATATATATATATATATTCAATGTGTAGGTTAAGAATATACTCCATTACTTATCAAGTGTCGGTTTTCAGGGATTTCATTGGTTACAAGATTGATCATGAGCCAACATCACTTAGAAAACCATTGGAATACCAGGGTGTACTGAACACCTGTTTCGTACTAGTTTGGGACACTTCAGCGGTCATGCACCCACTGGGATTCGGTTTCAGGACCTAGTGGCTACGACGCCAGCTCGTAGACTATTAAGCCACTGAGACCCAACCCAGTGGTTCATGAGTTCCAAATTCTGCCAATTCGTGGTATATATTTAGCGCAACCGCCAGCGGACGTCACAGGCGAGTAACTGTTCTCTTGCCTGACTTGGTGGACCCCTGGTTACTTCTTTAGTTGAAAATCGAATCTAAATTTTGTTCGTATATAGTTGTTGTATTTCTACTGATATGCTGACTATTTATCATACTCTATAGTGTACGCCAGTGATGTTTGTGTGAGATTCTGTGGTGTTGCATCTACCTTAATTTTGCTGTTATGCAGTGTGTTAGAGATTATTAACAGTTCTCGATGTTTATCTCAACACCGGGGCTCGAATACCGTTCCACTTACTTCAGCCAGTTTTACTATTGGATAGTATCACTAGCCTTTTCACATTGATGAGCATGGCTTGCAGTCTGGTGAATCTATTTCGAGTGACTGAATTCTAGAAACCACAGCAGTAACAACTTGACCCTATGAAAGGGATTCGAATATGAGACTATTGATTCCCCTTAAATTCGTTAGTTAAATTTTAACTAGAAAGTATTATTGATTTAACTATATCTGTTTTGTGTGCTGTTATTATAATTGCATAGGTTAAAGATTGTATGTCTTTGAAACTGATGCATTTAAGTAATTATTGTGGTGAATGTGAGTCAGATTTTGATGGCTAACAGAGTTTTTAGGATATAGTTTTATTATAAACTACTCATGCTAATGTGAGAGTTGTCTGTTTCTTGGTTGTCTTGAGCTTTATCGGTCTCCAGTCATGGGGTTGATATCTTTTTGAAACAAATCAGAGTTAGTAAAGAAAAAAAGATTTGCTTAAATACACTGTGCTTTGGTGGTTCTTCAGCGAAATCCTTGCAAACTATGCGGTAAGTCTGGGTTCGACTCCCGGTCGGCGCACTCCTAAAACTTACTTAGTCAGCGATGAGCTGGACAATGAGGAAACGTTGGACTTTAGGTGGCCTACAGCCCCATTTCGTCAAAACAACACCACTTCTATTGAAACGTTAAAGGTTATGACCCAATACGCTACTCTAAACGTAAGGCAGGGGGAAAATTAGATGGGTGCGATTTTCTTTGTAATCTCTATGTAATGTATTTTTGGATAGAAAAAGAACGACCAGGTTTGCGGTATAAAATGATATCATTCTATTTCACAGGTTCTCATCAGCTGCAAACTACTTCAAACAATGAAGTATGGAACGTTATTATTTATAACCATTGTAATTTCAGGTAGTTTGCAGCTGATGAGAACCTGCGAAATAGAATGATATCATTTTATACTGCAAATCTGGTCTTTCTTTCTCTATCGAAATTTATCGAGGGAACCAAATATATGCAATAATGTATATTTATTGAGTGTACTTTTTATATTTTTGCTTTTATCATATATAATGTGTGTGGTTACCCTCATTTAACGTTTTTTTTCTCTCTCTCTCCCTCAAACATACAAGGCATCTGCTCGAGTACCAAAAGCACCTCCTACTGGAGGTACACAAAACTCTAACCTCCCGATTGCAAGCAGACACGATGGTGGACGCTCAAAAACTGTTATTAGTCCACCAGCAGGATTGCAATCATTACGACGTAATATGTCTATCACTGAAACTACAGTTGAAACACCAGTTTCATTTTATTCTAAAGCTAAAGATTATTGGAGTCATGTTTCACCAACTGTTGATGGCATGTTATCTGGTTATACTTCATTGAATGTACCAGATATAGCTGATTCGGAAGCATTTCTTGATGAATTTGGACCGAGTACAACTGCTTATGCATTAGATTGTGGTGCAGGTATTGGACGTGTTACTAAACAATTATTACTACCTCGTTTCTCTATTGTTGATATGGTTGAATTGACACAGTTATTTCTTGATCAAACAGAAGATTACATTGGTCCAACACATTTTTCAAGGGTTGGTGAACGATTTTGCATGGGTTTACAAGTAAGTTATCTATTTTTCTAATCATTCAGAAATACATATTTGGGTTCATTTATCTCCTGGATTAGGCGACCACAATTCACTAAGCTTTCAGTATTAGTTGTTGATTAGTTTAGATAGCTTGTTGAATTGTCTAAGTTAATAACAGCACTGACATATCCCTGTCATTTCGTATCAAGCAGTCAAAGTGAAATTTGCCTTGAGTTATCCTTAGCTCCTGAATGTATGAACTAAGTTTTCCTGACATCTTCCACTGGTGATGATGGTGGCGGTGGTGTCGGACACCGCTAGTAGTGTCTGTCATCACAACTTTTGTATATTGCAAGCTATCAATCATATGTTATTCTGGGTTTTAAGCCAGTTTGTTACTATTTCGTAACTGTCTTCCCCTTTTGATAATTAGATAGCTAGATAAATGTGCTTTTTTTCCTTCACATTCTCCAGTGGAACATAGGGCTTCAAGCTAGTGGCTTGAAGTTTCTGTAGCAGTGTTAATTTTTACAGGATGGGGTTGCTAGCCTCATGCCCAACCTTCTCCCCATACCAGTTTTATATCTGGCTTACCGAGGTAAAGGAGTGCGTCGGTGGCCGGGGATCGAACCTCGGACCATGTGCACGATCGGCGAGCGTCCTAACCGCTATCCCACCGACGCACATAGGCTTTATATAACATGTGAATCTCATTAACAGATACATTGGGGATTAACTGTTTGATTGATTGTTGACAATTACTTCATCTCTTCAATTTTATGGTTGTTCTAATAACTGGATTAAATATGTATCCTAATGTTTATTTCAGTGTAACTGACTGACTGGTTGACTGGCTTCAACACAAAAGTGCAACCGGTCCAATTTGCCTTACTCCATTCAGCACACAAACTGCAGACGAAAGAGAGGATAAATAAATCCATTGAACTATAATGAGCAGAAACGTACTAGGGAAAGAATAATTACATGATTAAGCGTGAGGATTTGGAAGATTGCAGAGTGATTGCATCTGCACCATTAAAAACGATTATGAGCCAATATTACCAACAGTCTCAATACATTGTTTGATTTTTCTATCGTCTGGAAGATTCCAACCAAGGGAGTCTATCCTTCCCAACGGTGCTCAAACCAACAAGCATAGACTTAATGGATTGATCTCAGGTTTCCATTCGACCAGCTTTCATTGTTTTCTAGTAGAATCCTATATCACATCTAACCTTACTCGTGGTGGTGACTTGGCATACTCGGTATGTTTTCAAGAGTTGGTTTGTAAGGATTAGATTTGTTTTCCGAGTTTGACCACGGATTGATATCAATTAGAGAACCACTGGAAACCAGGGAGTATTAGACGGTCGTTTCATCCCAGTTTGGGAATCATCGACAGTACCATTCAGCCACTTGGCCCCGATTCAATGGCTCATGAATGCTAACTTTTACCAATTCGTGGATTTCCCACCAATGTCGCGCTAAATCACGAATTTTTAGAAGTTAGAATTTATTGGCTACTGAGTCGGCTTCCAGTGGCTGAGTTGTATACGCGCCGGCTTTCCTTGTAACCGGAAGGTCCTGGGTTAGAACCTAATGGGTACGCACCGCCGATAATTCCCAAACTAGCATGAAGTGACTGTCTAGTAATCCCTGGTTCTCAATGGTTCTCTAACTGATAACCATCTGTGGTTAAACTCGAAATACGTAGTATATGTCCTCGCTCTCCGAGGTAATGTTGCCTCATAATCTCATCGATTGACTTTTATTACTTAGCAGTGTATGCTTTACCATAATATATGTACTCACCATATTATGCCACTTGGCATGGGAAACAGAACGCAAACATTTGTAGTCAAAGAAACCTAGTCTGTTTGCATCTTCCATTTTCAATTCTCATGTCTCAAACGCCAAGAGGCGGTACAAAGTGAACTGATTAATAACCGCATATTTTGCCTGCTGTAGATATGGTGCAAAGTTGAAAAATGCGACAGGAGCCTTTGGTATTTGTACTGAGATCCCGTCGTCATCAATTATTCCATTAGGGCTGATGCAACTTTTCAGATAAGTGAAGTGGTGGTTCACATGCTTTATTATTTTATTCCTTATCTTTAACCAGAGAGTCAGTGTAGCCTAGCTTCATTTTACATTTGACAGGAAAGAGTCGTATGTCAAACATTAGAGATGTTCATTAAACTGACCTAGGTGGACAATATCATTGGCATAATCTAAGTCGATAAAATTGTTCTCTGGTAATAAGTCAATCTTTGAGTCGCTAAAGTCATTTAGGTTGAATTACATTAATAATCTTAGTGTAGAAAGAAGTATATTAGTGATTTGTTCTCTTTATTTAGTGAAATCGTCTATTGTTTCTTTAACATCAGGTTGTATTTCTTAATTTTCTTTTTAATCTTAGGAATTCACACCACCAACTGGACGATATGATTTAATCTGGATTCAGTGGGTGTTAGGACATTTATCCGATTTAGCCTTATTAGCATTTTTAAAACGTTGTGCACATGGTCTATCGCCTGGTGGTGTAATTGTCATTAAAGAAAATGTTACATCCACTGGTGGACATGATGAAAATGCAGTGATTAATTCAACTGAAGTCAATTTTGATGAAATTGACAGTAGTTATACACGACCACGTTCTGCATATATTAAAGTGTTTAAAGATGCTGGTTTAAAGTTAATCGGTGAAAAAGCACAAACCAATTTTCCATTATCGCTGTATCCAGTAAGAATGTTTGCTCTCTGCTGTGATGGAAAACCGAAAGCATCACCGACAGCATTGGTTGCACCACCGTCATCAGCAGTGTTAAGCGCTTAAATTCGCATATTCTATATACATATGTTTTTTGTTGTTGTTGTTGAAATATACATTTTCAAGTTCAATTTGTTTTTTGAAGTAAAAAAGGATTAATTCTTTTTTTTTTTTAAAAAAACGATGCGCGCTTTTTCAAATATACATATGTTTATTAATCTTCGTGTTAACTGCTGAAGAAAACTGTTCATATATTACTACAGATCTTATATTTTTGATGTTTCAGTGTACATGATGTAATAAAGATGTACTGTGCGTGTGTGTGTGTGTACGCGTATTGTATTTTATTAGTAGAAAATTATTTTTTTATGAAGACAATGTGTATTCCTTTTTTGATGCGATAATTCTTAATGGTATTATCCATTCTTTGTTTTCCCCACTGTTGTAAGTTGCATGAGTGTTTTTCTTCTACTTTGCGTGTAATCCCATAAAAAGAAGAGAGAGAACAAAACATTACTAAGTTATTGGGGAAATAATACATGTCACTCCAAAATATACAATGAATATTTGTTTTTAATTGCCTTTCTTTTCAGATTTTGAACACAGCCTTTTCTTCTGTGTGTATACATAGAATGAACGTATATATATGTGTGTATTGATCTGACTGGTTTAATCATCACCTTCTAATGTAATGTAATGACGATGATGATAACGGTAATAATATTAATAACGAAAAAAAAGACACGTTTTGTTGTGTATCCTGTATTTTTGTTGTCATTTTGAGAATAAGATAAATGCGGTATATTAGTGTTCTTTTTTCATTCTTTTGCCTTCCGAGTGGAACATTGGGCTTCTCAGTAGTCCTCTTCATCTGACCTCACAACTACCCATAAGTTTTAATCTCCTCCTAAACACTATCTCTTCCATGTCCCTGTCGAAAATCTGCCTCATTCGTTGTTTCAAATTCGGATTCTACTCGAGAGCGGATGATGTCACCCAACAGTCTCTTCAACATGTGTCTGATCCATCTTCATTGTCTTCCTGTGCTTGTTGAGCAATAGGTTCTTGTTTGGTTTGTTCCCAGTGTTCTTTGTTGTTAATTCTTTCTGACCATCTGATCTTCATTATGGAAACAGTGGAGACAGCTGTTGATAAATGTCTGCTATAGCCTGTTTGGAATGCTTTTCGTGACGCACCAAGTTTCTGACCTATATGGAAGAACTGACTGAGTAATGGAGGTCTGCCTTAGCTTTCTCATTCTTGTCGCGTATAGTTGAAACGCGATGCTGCTTGGATAAGCGAACGAAGTGACCTCTTTCAAATTTCTTCCATTGATAGTGAGTGATTGGTGCTTTTTGTTGTTGTTGTTGTTTGTTGTTTATCTTCATCACCTTCGTCTTCTCTATGTTCACCTGAAGTCCTGTCTTCCGCCAGTTTGTTAGCTTTCACTTTTAGGTCTTCGAATTCATGTGACATTAGAAGTAAATCGTCTGCAAACTTCAGGTTTTCTAGGGTTTTCGTGTCGATCCAAAGTACGCCCATCTTTTCACTCTCCTCTCCATGGCCTGTTTCATAATCCAATCCACCAGTATTAAGAATACCATTGTAGGTGATAGTAAGCTGCCATGTCTTCACTCTGCAGGCTTCTCTAAGTTCCCCTTTGTGGATCGCTTGACATTTGGATATGATCTCAAATGGCGACATAAAATTCCTGATGGGCGATGTGAATGCTAAACTGGGAGCAAACAGTACGGGAAGAGAATTCATCACGAGTCAAGAGGCTATTAGCGAAATGAGCGAGAACACATAACTCTTCCCAGACTTCTGTGCATTCAATATCATGGTATGAGTAGAACTGATTATATGAAGATTGATGATATTACCCATTTGTCATGATGGAGTGCTTACACCAATGAAGTCCTTCTTTTATCTAATGTAGTATTATGTAACAAGATTTCAGAAATTTTCATTGACTGGTAAATTAGTTACACAGATGTCCTCCTTTAGTTTTTACTGAGATTTAGCAAGTATTTGTCTTAATATAGGTATTATTTTATTAAGCTTGTGGTTTATGTAGTAAAGCTTTCGATAGTATTATCATCTGTGATACTGAGGTCTGTAATGATTTTCTTATTATTTACATTAATATATGTTGCCGGGTTGGCTATTAGTTTGAGTTATATGATTTTCTTTGACTGCATATTGAATAATTCCATCCCGATCGGCTTAATTGACTATGTGGCGCAGCAGTGCAGTGTTGTACTTAGCATCCAGTAAATGATACTGTGCGTCGTTGGCATAGCGGTTAGGACGCTCGCCGACCATGCATATGGTCCGGGGTTCGATCCCCGGCCGATGCACTCTTCTACCTCACTCAGCCAGAAATAATGCTGGTAAAGAGGATAGGATGGGCATGAGGCTAGCAACTGCATCCTGTAAAATAAACACTGCTACAGAAACTTCAAGCCACTAGCTTGAAGTCCTATTTTCCACTGGGGAACGTGAAGGGAAAAAAATGATACTGGAAGGAGGCGATCGCTTGGAAACCATAGGTCTAGCTTTCATACTTATTGACCGTCATCAGCAAGTCGTACCTTCAACGTAGATGATGTCCGGTAATGGGGAATGTCTTAGCCTGGTGAACAGATTTCAAAATTAGTTGATGGAATTCAGTTAGCACTACGGATTAAAGAACACAAACATAGTCACTCCTCGGTAACTAATCCTTATTAATCCACTGTACGACTATGTTCCATTGAATAAATGAACTAAGATAGAAGAACAAGACATATAAGCGAACAAAATTGTTTTCAATTAGATCTTCTTCAGGCTTTACTCTAATTTACATAGACTTATATATATAAAATTTTAACCAATGACGGTGATTTTGGTGGATCAAATAATAATAGTAATCATGATAATAATAATAATAGTAATAATAATGTGGTAAATGTTTTGAACGAAGTTAATAACGATGATTATAATAATAACAAAATATTATACAATTGGTGGATGGTGGCTAGCAGTGGAATCCAGGATGCGCATTTCGCCCTAATTGGGACTCGTCAGCCGGATGTACCTGCATTTCTCAGTGAGTGATGATGTTCCCACCGAGGCTCGAACCCAGTGCCCATAGTTTCAAACGCCAAAGCGTTATCCACTAGACCACTTGGATTCCACTGCTAGCCACCATCCACCAATTGTATACTAACTGAATGCCCGGACATCGTCGAAGCATCTGCACAAGAAGCCGACATGTCAACCTGAGACCGAGCACTTCGGTCCAATCAATCGACGGGAAAATCAAAAATTCAATTCAATAATAACAAAATATTGTTAATAAGGCTTATATAGGTGATAAGAATAACAAAGTTAGTATATGCATATATGTAGACAATTCAATAAATAAATAAATTAGGTCAAATCAAATGGAACGATAATCAGAGTTTAAATAAATATCATAAAAGTACGAAGGAGAGGGATGATAAGAAAGGGTGGGAGGGTTTTGAATAGAATTCACCTAGGCCAAGGGAGAGACAAAGGTAGGACAAATCTACTAGGATAACCCATTTGGACTAACGTATTTTGGATGTATCCTAGCTCATTCTCTAGAGTCATCTGTACATATGCGTCTTGCTCTATTCGTCAGGCATCTGACCAAATTGATTTTGTATCGGATTGGTACATAACATCCGATACAAAATCAATTTGGTCAGATGCCTGACGAATAGAGCAAGACGCATATGTACAGATGACTCCCTAGAGAATGAGCTAGGATACATCCAAAATACGTTAGTCCAAATGGGTTATTTTAGTAGATTTGTCAGGAGACACATGAATGCTAAGTACAATGAAGAGAAACCGACAACAGTTAAAAAGAAACAACTGTTCATCAAACTGCAATTTAATGGGGACGTGGCTAGTGAAGTCTTACATCAGAGATTATCGAGAGCGATAAAACGGACTTATACTGCCGCCACCCTCTGTTTGTCATTTTCCAGCCGACCAATTTTGATTGCTCAAGTGAAAGATAAGTTACCTAGTTGTGCCACTTCCATGTGTATCTATAAATTTAGTTGCTCCTGTGGAGAAAGCTATATAGGCCGAACAACTAGACAGCTTAACAAACGCATTAATGAGCATCTTCCTTCATGGTTCGGAAAAGGTCAAATAAAATCCATACGAAGTTCTGTTTTGGCTCATTTGATTGATAGTGGTCACCAAGTGGACAAAAATAGTGCTTTCAAAGTTATTTACCGCATTCCATCAAGTCTTTCGAACGGAATCAGAACCCGTCTTTTACACTTAGCCGAAGCTATGGGAATTCGAGAGAACAATCCTAGTCTTTGTATACAAAAGAAATTTGTTCTACCTTTGTCTCTCCCTTGGCCTAGGTGAATTCTATTCAAAACCCTCCCACCCTTTCTTATCATCCCTCTCCTTCGTACTTTTATGATATTTATTTAAACTCTGATTATCGTTCCATTTGATTTGACCTAATTTATTTATTTATTGAATTGTCTACATATATGCATATACTAACTTTGTTATTCTTATCACCTATATAAGCCTTATTAACAATATTTTGTTATTGTATACAATTGGTGGATGGTGGTTAGCAGTGGAATCCAGGATGCGCATTTCGCCCTAATTGGGACTCGTCAGCTGGATGTACCTGCATTTCTCAGTGAGTGATGATGTTCCCACCGAGGCTCGAACCCAGTGCCCATAGTTTCAAACGCCAAAGCGTTATCCACTAGACCACTTGAGCCACGAGAGCCACCTCTTGTGCAACGGGTCATATTATTAATGAATTGAATTTTTGATTTTCCCGTCGATTGATTGGACCGAAGTGCTCGGTCTCAGGTTAACATGTCGGCTTCTGTTGGCGTTTAAAACTGTGGGCACTGGGTTCGAGCCTCGGTGGGAACATCATCACTCACTGGGAAATGCAGGTACATCCAGATGACGAGTCCCAAATAGCACGAAATGCGCATCTTGGATTCCACTGTTAGTCGCCATTCACCAATTAAATACTGGAAACCCTGGGACTCTTCATCAGTATA